CTCCAGTGTGGAAGCAGTTGTGAGTTTTCCTCAGACATTTTGCTGCAGGCATGTTTTCTCTTGTTCTGACACCATCTTTTTTCCCGATGTGGTGCCATGCTGGGAGGTCAAGTCTGACACTCAGTGGAAGGTTTATGTCGTCGAGGGCTAGGTTGTACTTGGCCCCTGTGTTGAGTACAGCTTTGATTTCATGTGGGAGGACTCTGCTCGTGTAATGCTGCTTGTTGAAAATTTGCTGGGTGAAGATGTCAGTTATTCATGGGTCGAGGGTCTCTTCGTCCTGGACGTGTTTTGGGAGTGAGGAGATGATTATAGCTTCAGCAGCATCCACAGCCGGTGATCTGTTGGGGGATCTGTCAAGGATTTTTTTGAGTTTTACAAGGTGGATCACCTCGTTCCTTGCCTGGATATTTAGGATGTTTCTTCCTCCTTCACCAGGTGGGTTGTTCAAAGTTTTCATGCTGATTGGGGGGATCTGAGAATTCCAGATGAAGTTTTTTGTTAGGGTGCAGAGCTCTTTTTCGATTTTTTTTGGCATGCCCTGGGCGGAGGTGTGGAATTGGGTCATGCCGCTGATGACCATTTGGGTGATGTGTTTTTGTCCTTCGATAGTCAGGTAAGTTTTTTGCCAGTTTTTTAGACTAGTGCTGACTTTGGCCATGATGTCTGGCCATGGGTCGATCCCGCTTGGGTGGTTTCCACATTGTGCTCCTAGATATCTTGTGGTTTGGCCGTCCTCAAGGATTGATATGTCGTTGTGAAAGGGGCTGGTTGAGTTGGTGTTTAGACTTCTTGTGTTGAGCAGGGTTTTGTGATATGTTGGTGTGCCCACAGGGATGACTACAGATTTTTCGTTGTTGAATCTTGCCCCAGAAGCAGTGCACCAGGTGTTGAGGATACCCATTAGGCAGTCCACATCATCGTCTTTTGAGAGGAAGACCGCAGCGTCATCCGCAAAGAGGGAGACGATGACTCTTTGTGTGAGTGATGGGGTTTTAATTTCCAGGCCTCGTATTTTGCCTGATTCTCTTAACATTATTGATAGGGGCTCAATTGCTATGTTGAACAGGAGGCATGACAGAGGGTTGCCTTGTCTTATGCCTCTGTGTACAGGGACCTTGTCGCTGATTTCGCCATTCAGGATTATGCGGGTTTTTGGTTCGGAGTACAGTGATTTTATGGTGTTGATTGTGGGGGCTGGGATTCCCATGGCCTCTAGAGTGCACCAGAGATAGTCGTGGCAGATTCTGTCATATGCTTTCTCCTGGTCAAGGGCAACGATCGCGCCGTCTTGATTGATAATTTCACATAGGTCTATCATGTGGTTAACCAGGTTGATTTGGTCATGTATACTTCTGCCTTTTATGAAAGTGGCCTGGCATTTATTTATGAGGTTGGGGGCAATTGGGGCAATTTTATTCATGAGAGCTGTTGTCATGATTTTGTATTCTGCGTTTAGTATGGTTATTGGTCTGTAGTTTTCAATCTCTCTCCTGTCTTTTTTCTTGTACAGGGGGCATAGCCAGCCAACTGTGAATTGGGGGGAGGATATGCCTCATGTTTCAATATCATGAATTACATTGTGGAGGAGTTTAACTATGTCTACACGGCTTTCTGACTTAGCCAACCATCTTTCATGGAGCCTTTTGTAGAGTTTGGTTGGGATTCCGTTTAGGCCTGGGGCCTTTCCATTTGGAGATTGTTTCAGGGCGGCACGGGTCTCATCATAGCTGATGTTTGTTGACATGGGGATTGTTTGGGTTGAGGGGGCAGTGGTGATTTGCGAGAGGGACTCCGCGATGCAGTTTTCCCTTTTGAGGGGGGGGAGAGGTTGAGGTCTCTTGTTTGTACTGCGTTGTAGTGTTCAGCAGCGATTTTGGCCATATCGGAGGAGTTGGAGGAGTAGCAGGGGGGGCCGGTGTGAGGAACGTGCAGTTTGGTTATTGTGCCATGAGGTTTTTTGTTTTCCCCCCATCCACACCAGTATTTGTTTATCGACTCAGCAAATAGGCGTTTGTTCATGCTGGCTGAGGTTTTGTTGTTCCTATGGCGGGTCTTCTCGATTTATTGGATCCTTTCGGTTAGGGCCATTATCTGGTATTGGGTTTCTTCCTGGTGGTGTGCATATTGGGGTGAGTTTAGATTTCTGATTGCTTTGTCTCTACGTTTCTCAAGGCATCTGAGGGTTGAGTTTAGCTTGCCTGACTTAATTTTTGCGAGTTTACGTGCGAGAGATATGGTGGCCTGTGTGAACTGGAGGAATATATTTTGTACTCCCCCTTCGTTTGGCGAGGGGATACTGATCATGTCAGCAAGGGCATCGGTTCCTAGTTTTTCGACCCCATTCAGGAACTCCTGGTCATTTATTAGGTAGTTTGGGATGGCCCATCTACCTTTGCTGATGTGGGGTGCATGGGGGTCGTGGATCTCAACCGAGATCAGCTGGTGGTCGGCGGTGGGGATTCCAGGATTTTGAATGTTCCAAGTGAGTGTGCTGTTGGTTATTTCATTTGTGGCATAGATTCTGTCGATTCTTGACATGTGGGTTCCAAATCTATGGCCGAAGGTGTAGTTTTTCGATGGTGGGGGGTTGGCCTTGCGCCAGCTGTCCTCTAGATTGTGGAGGTATAGGAGTTCTTTGAGGGCCCTTACCGCAGTATCTGCGTCTTTGTGTTGGGGGGTACGGTCAATCGTGTCCTTGATGATATTGAAGTCTCCTAGGATCATGTTGATTTGGAGGTTTTCCGTGAGTTCACTTAGGTTCTGCCAGAAAGCAGCGCTTTCGATACCCGTTCCTCTGACATTTGGGGCATATATTGCTAGGATTGTGATCTTTCTATCGGCAGGCCATTCAATCGTGGAGAGGAGGGCATGGCCAGGGATGAGGTTGATTGTTTCTGTTACATTTTTCTTAATGATGTTTTTGTTGATGATGATTGTGACCCCTGCAGCTCTGGGGTGGGCCGGGTCGAAGGAGTGGAAGATTTGGAAGTCGTCACCATAGCAGTCAGATAGTTGGTCTTCCTGTGTGGAGTCAGTGTGAGTCTCAGAGACACACATCACCGCGGTTTTGTCTTTTTTCATTTTGTCTATGATTAGGTTCCATTTTTGTCTAGTTTGTGGGCTGTTGGCCCCCTTGATGTTGAGGGTGGCGATGTGGAGGTGGCCATTCGTCATCGTCTTTGGGCCACTTCCTCCTCTCAGGCGGAGCGGTCTAGGCGGGGGTTGTGGTTTGGGTCCATTTTCCAATCCCAGGTGCCCGTCATTGGGTTTTGGTAAAACGGTATAAACTCTCTGCCCTCCAGGCACCGGGGGCTGTGGCTGGTTGACTGGTTGAGTATTCACCATGTGATTGGGCTTTCAGGTTTTGATCTTTTTACAGGCAGTTGGTGGTTTCCCGATCCAATTGCCAGCCGGGGTTTGGGATGTTGGGGCTTTCTTAGGGGTTGAGCTACTGGGCTTTCCTGTCACCCAAAGGCTCAGTAAGTGTGGGCTCAGTAGGGGGGTTGTGAGGTGGGGTTGTGAGGTGGGGAGGTTCGGAGTAGGGTAGCTGATTAAAATTTTCTGTTCAAATTTCAGATTCAAGTGTATGGGTCATAGAGGTATTTACAGGGCAGGACGGTGTAGCTACGGTGGTGTGGGCTGAAATGGTTCAGGCTATTTAATCAATTTTGCTAGTTGTCCGCAGTTTTTTAGGGTGAAGTCTGTTTTTTGTGCATGTTAGTCAAAGTTGTATTTAGGGGGGACGTAGGGGGGGAATTGCGAGCCATATTGAGTAGGGGGGCGGCCACATCCTCTTCCTCGTTGGAAGTTTGAGTAAGGCGCACATCAGGGGAGTGAGGGGAACAGTCCTCCGTTGGAGCTGGAGGGGATCATGTCACCGTCGATATCGGCTTCCGTGTCAGCCTCTTGTTTGGGGTACCGTTGATTCCAGGCTGAATGAGAGTGGATCGGGCAGCAGTGGAAGAAGTGGTCGGAAGCCTTACAGGTGTTGCAGACTCTTTGTCTATTGAAGGCGTGTCCTGCCTGGGTTTTTTCGCTTACAAATGAGGCTGTTCTGAAGGATTGGGACCATTGGTCATGTGGAGTTTCGCATGCCTCCTTGAGGGTTTTGAAGGGGGGGTCCATATGCAACTCCCACATAGTTACTGATTTGTCAGAAGTTGGTCTTCTTTTTTCTTCGGTGTTCTCATTGTTTTCCTTCCCATTGGGGGCATATCCTCTCGGGATTACGCAGATGCTGTCCACAATTACCCTTATCTGATCATCTGTCATACTTGCCTCCTTGAGGAATTTTTGGAGATTGTTTGTTTGACAGCTTCTTTTATGTTGTTCACATCTTTTAGCCTGTTACCCATTCCCACAATAGAAATCATGAAGGATGAGGGTTTGAATCTGGTGCTGATGGTGATGAACCCGAACGTTTTGCATATCCATAGGTGTTCGCAAATGAGGAGGTCGGTGTCAGGGCACACCCGCCTGACCTGGCTCCACCTGGCCCAACCTGACCCGGTACCCTGCTGTCCACCCTTCCTTACCTCCTCCCCCTTTCCCTTCCTCTCTCCTCATTCTTCCTTCCTCACTTTCTTCCTATCTTACTTCTTCTTTATTCTCTCTTTATTCTACATGGACGACCTTCTTTGTATCAATGTACCATTGACCCATCTGCAGTGCACCCACCATGTACCCAGCCCAGGCACCTCGGGCGACTTCCCGCTGTGCCCAGCACACGTGCCTGCACCGGATGCCCTTGGGATCTCCCACAGAGACACCCGGGTGGTTACGGCTGTGTGCAAGGGTGACGTGGCACCTGTCATGTGATCTAAGCTGCATGTATATAAATGAACCTGGAGTGGGAACTGAAGAAGTAGCCTTCTTCTCAACTTTCCACTTCAGTCTAAGCAGCCAGGGACCACTGTCCTGCATCAGGCCTGTCAGTATGCATGCCCGATCCACCCCCCTGCCAGGCTCTCAGCCCCAGACGCTACACCCGGGCCCCCTCAACCCCAGACGAGTCCTTGACAGTCGGCAAATTGGGGATTTAGGCCTTCAACTAGGAAGCCCCATGGTTTGGCATATTGGGGGGTTCCACCACATCTAAGGTCAATAGGGACAGGGGGGATGATGTTTACTTCCCCGACTTGGTCTGGGAATGCCCTTTCTAGAAAGGCTTCCATGTTGGTTTGGAAATTGCTAGTGTTTTCTTTGCTGTGGGCGGCATCAAGGGGCATGGCTAGGATGGCACCTGCCTTTTTTAGCCAGGCTTTGGCACAGTTGGGGTTTGCTCCTTCAAGGAGGTGGCCTGGGTGGAGGCTGTGTGTGTAAAAGTTTGCCAGGTCAGGTCCTAGTGGTAGCCAGTTTAGATCGTCTCTTCCATCGTCAGGTTGTTCAGCGATTACCGGTATGAAGGTTGGTTGGTCAGTGGCGATGGGGGATCCATTGCCTTCAGTGGCCGGGCTACAGGATGGGGGGAATTCAATGGGGTTTGTGTTTTTTTGGAAGGCTGCCAAGCCACCCGACCCAAGGTCGAAGACATCGGGAGTAGGCACAAGGGAGGATTTTTGGTTCTGGGGCATAATGAGGGGGGGCCTCATTGCTTTTGGAGGGAGGAAGCGGGGGGGGCCTTTAGGGGGCCTTGAATTCTCACGGCAGTGGGTGATCTCGCATGTTTCCTCGTTTCATTTTCGGTTGCTAAAGTGAGATCTTTGTTTTTACCACTTCCTTGATGATTTTTCCCAAGGAGGGGGCCGGACCGGGCAGAGTCTGGGTTGTCGGAGTCAGAGTCGGAGATATTCTTGTCCTCCACTTGGTCAGCGATAGTGACTGCAAAGTTTTGCGGTGCGTTAGTTATGGCCGCTATCATGTGTTCATCCTCAGACGTCAGCTGGGTTTGAAAGGTTGTATGGAGGGGTATGAATGACTGTTCGGACTGGGGCCTTGTCAGAGGTTGTAGAGTGGGCAGGGGGGTATTTACCTCCATGGTTTAGTGGGGAGCTTGTTAGGGGGCTAGGTCGGTGGGCGGACTAGGGGAAACTGACACAGTTTCTGCGGAGTTACCCACTTTTATTTCCAGCTACTGGGGTGTCCCGGTGTTTGGAACAGGCTGACGTATGCGAAAGGCAGTTCAGGGTTTGGAGGCAGTACAATGTTAGTCTAGGTGCTTTCCGGGTTTTCACTTGGTTGGTGCATACGACATTGCGTTATTGGGATTTTTTGCGTTAGGGCGTATTTAAACGTTGAGTCACAGCGGTTTGGGTTTAGCTTATGCATTTAGTTGACAGCCAGAGGGTTTTAGTGCTTGGGGTTGACAGCATCTCAAGGCCGGGACATAAGGGGCAGTTCGGCATGTGAGGGTAGGGCCAGGGTCTGGTTGAATTGTAAGGTATAGCAGTTTTCCTTGCCAGGTTGCTGTGGTCCTGTCAGGGCAGAGGTTTGGCGGTGATGGTCTGACTTAAATCAGCAGGCAGGCTGGCCTCTCAGTGGGTCATGACATTTGTAATGCCCATTTGGTTGTAATATGCGTTAGTTCAGATGGGTTGTATGGGTACTCGCAGCAGGGTGGTGGGTGATGGGGTGGATTCTGGAGCATAGACTGTCACACATAGGTTACTAGTCAGGGTTTCAACAGAGTGTTGCTTATGTCTCAATGTCGCATTAGGGATATCGTGTGTGGGTTTTTGCGTTAGGGGGAGAGCGTGGAGAGCATGGGGCGTTTAAACCTTCCATGGCCAAGGGCCGCTTTTAGCGGTCTTGGGGTTCGTTGAGGTTTAAGCAGACATGTATTTCTCAGGGCGTTACAGTCCAGATATGGGGAATGCAGAGTAGTCGTGAGTCAAGGTGGTTGGGTTGGGTGAGGGGGCATTTCTGGTTGCGCCACCATGGACGTATAGTGGCCAAGGATCATCTGGGTAGCTATTATGTGTCAGGGAGGAGCCAGTCATGTTTGGTGGCTAATGGTATGTAAGGGCATCATTGGGGTGGAGGTGATATGTGTAGTCTCATGAGCTCCACACAGTGGTATGGGCTGGTTGGTTAGGTCTAAGGTGGGTGGGGTGATTGGTGAGGTTTTTGGTGAGGTTTTTGGGATTTAGGGGTGGACCCTAGGCTCGGTTGTCTGTTCGGGCTGTGCCCTCGTCAGGGGGTTGGAAACCAACAGAGGTGTTACCTCATGACTCTGCAAGTCTTTTAGGGGGACACCTAGTCTACGGCGTGTAGGCTGTGTGGATGTTCCTAGGAACTGTCCTAGTTCATGCAGAACTACCCATATGAACCCAATTGCCTAAGCCGCGCTCGGCGTTTTTAAGTAGCAATTGGGCACTCTTGGTCGACGGCCCTGGGCTTGTGTCAGGGGATGGACCCCGGGTCCCCATGACCCCTCTCTACAGTCCACAGTCCAACCTGTAAACACAGCCCATCTCAGGGCAGGACTACCGTGGGTAAGAAAGTGAGAAGAAGGTTAACTTCTCACTTTCCCACAGTGGCCCAATATGGCAAAAACTTCCGGGGATACCCGGAAGTCACATGAAGAGTGGGAACCGGGCCCGGAGCATGCGGCATGTGGAGCATGCGGGGTGGAGTGCACAAGCGGGTCCGGGTCCGGGCTAGTCAGGGTGTGTGCCCTGACAGCTTGGGGTCGGCGTGACGCCTGCCCTGGTGCCACCTGAGCTTTTACCCCCTGGTCGACATTGCCAGCCTGTGGTACTTTTTTTTTTTTTATTGTGAATGTACTAGTTTTATGCTATGCCTTTTGCTTTTGCTTTTACCTTCCTAGTTTAACAACTTTGCGGTTGGCATGATGATATCTTAACACCCCCGTGGCCTCATGATGTCATGGCAGTGCACCGTTGATACCATACATGAGGGGGACTTTCTATACAAAGTGTGTGGGTAATCTGGTTGGTATCGTCTGGTGTCCTTTTAGAAAGCTCATCATCATTGCATGGTGTACAGCAAGCCAAAGAAAAATAGGTGCGCCCGATTTGGATGAATGGCCATGCAGATCATGTGATCGTCCAAACATGGTAGCAAATCTAACTAATAAATAATCGCCGAGGGTCATCTATGAGATCTGATTGGCTTGGTTCTCCCCAAACCCAGGTTTCGAACCACTCTGATTGGCTCTTTCATCTTACCTCATCCCTGTTGACCGTAGCGACTTACGTCGCTACTTTCACCCTTTGTGCATTCCCTTCTTATGACCTCCTCTTTTATATGCCCACCTGTATCTTACCTCATTGTTTAACTTCATCCGATTCCCTATTCATACATGACATGTTCCCATCGCATCATAGTCCATCGCATGTTTTCATTGGATCTGCATCAAGGTTTTGCTCAAGCTCACTCCTCCAGTCACCGTTGAGGTGCATCGCTGGTGCTTGGGGGTCTTCGGCTGATTCCTTTTTTCATCACATGCTTGATTTATATATCCATGTCCAGATCACATGAATGATCCACACACCTGAGTTACTGGCTCTGTCATCAATATTGCTCTCCTAGGGCATGCACTTGCGGGCATTTTGATCTTTTTGGAAGGCAGGGAGTTTTTGGGACTCGCTGCTATTACAAAGATTTCAAATCTCCCTACACACTGTAACCATTCTGGGTGTTTCTGCACAGCAGAGGGTTCCACGAACTCGCTGCTATGGCAGAGACATGAATCGGACCCTCCCACTCTATTCACTCATTCATCGCCGACCTTCATCGAACCAAGCATATTATCTCACCATTGTGTGTTCTCATCTAATCGGACTTTTCAATTGGACTTTGAGCTTCCAAACGTTCGAGCCTGTAACACATCCTCCTTTCTCAGTCTTTTCCGATGGTGAGCGCGATTGCCCTTCTTCCTCCAGTTTGATGTCCAACAGCCAGAAATCCTCATTCTACTGCTCTTTCTTCCCAATCAATGTACATACTTCTTAATGCACCTTCACCCCTTTCTAACACTCTAACACAATTTCCCAAGCGCGATACTTTCCAACCACCAATATTGGGCTTATTTCGCCCAATTGTCCCCTATGTCTGACCACTTCCGATGGCGATCCACCCCGTGTGGATGGTGTGGCACTCTACTTTTGGAATCCGAAAGTGTGGATTGGTGTTGCCGTCGAGGCACTAAATGTCTTCCATGCCTTCCACCGCTACCCCCCTGTCTAGCTTCTTTCATCAGCACCTCGCCCACCAATGCGGGGAATGCGTCCCAAGCATTGAACTATTTGTTCAATCTGAGTGCACAAGCTGTATCCAGAGAATTTCACTCCTTTCAAGGTATGACAGTCCTTCTCTTTCACACTCTGACCTCAAATGTTCGGGGTAGGTCCTTATTCTCTGTGTATCACCAGTCGCACATATCATCGTATCTTTCCAAGTCAAAGATTGGGTCATCCCATCAATTGGTTTTTGTATGATCCATTGGGAGCTACTCCTGCCATTTTACAATCCAATGTCCCTCCTTGCACTGTGGATGCTATCCGTCAAGAATTGATGGCAAACAATCCTCTATTTTGAAACTTCCAAGATTTTGCACAGTTCCAACCCCATCTGCAAGACGTCTCCATGCAAATTCAAGATCCAGGAGTGTCCAATGAAATCGCTGCCATCTATCATGTTGGTTCAGGTGCAACTCATGATCCACGCTGCATCTTTGTACAGCGTTGAAGGGAAGCCACTCCTTCCCCTGTCAACATTCTGAATACATTATATGAACCCCTACAATATCCCATTCTCTTTCCCCATGGAGTGGGTGGTTGGGGAGAAATCCATCGTCATGTCCAGTACGGCCATTGGACTCAAATCGTGTGGTATAAACATCGACTCTTGACAGAAGAGCGTTTCCATCAATTCTGGCATTTAGGATGTGAATGGATAATCAACATGTTCTCCTGAGTGGAGGATCAACGACTATTCCTCATTAAACAAGGAAAACAACATGAATATGATTGTATATTACACGCTGATCACCAAGATTCAGAAGAACAAGAAGAACACTTCTATCAACTTCCATCCAGCTTCACCGGTTCTGCTCGATATTATGCTGAAAAGGTAGCAGACGCTCTCACATTAGCCCGTCAATATGGAAAACCCGACCTAATGATCACTGCCACTTGCAATCCAAACTGGCCTGAAATCACTGCCAAACTATTACCTGGACAGATGGCCACCACTGCCCCTGTCATAACTGCTCAAGTCTTTCAGGTGATCATTTCTGTGTTTGTTGTATCTGTTTGGATTTTAACCCTCTGTTGTCAGGCTCACTTTCTATGATTGCTCAAAAGAATTGAAATCTTATTCGATGGATTTCTTTGCATGGTATATGCTGTGGAATTTCAGAAGCGGGGTTTACCCCACGTTCATATTGTGGTCAAGGTTGGTCACGCTCTCTTTCCCTCATTCACTCCCACTCTCATTTCTTTTAATAGCTCAAGCGCTGCATTGACTTCAAACACATTGATTACATTGTGTCGGCTGAAGTCCCTCCGGATCAAAGTTGTCTTCACACATTAGTGATGTCTCACATGATGCACTGCTCCAATCATTTGGACCCTCAACATGTGCGAACGAGTCATTGCAATCGAAAGGGTCAATGCATCTACGGTTTTCCCCACCCAGTGACCACTTACACCCAAGTGAACGAAAAACAACGTGTTTCTTATCAATGATGATCTTCTTCAGATGCTTGGGTCATACCATATTCACCTCCTCTACTTTTACTCTGGGAAGGCCACATCAATGTGGACATTGTGTTTACTGCCAACGTGTTTTTGTATCTCTTCAAGTATCTATTCAAAGGAGTGGACTACGCCAACTTCCAACTTGGCCATAATTCCGATTTGGACCCTGTGGATCAATACATTCGAGGACGATATATCTCCGCCCCTGAAGCTGCATGGTGAATCCTAGCGTATGACATCTGTCATCAATGACCTTCAGTCTCATGCTTGAAAATCCATGAGCCCAATCAGAATCGGTTTCAATACTCCTTCAGGGGCCGCTCTTGCAGTGCAAGTCCTTCACAAGCATCTGAACTCATTCGCTATTTCAATCGACCTTCAGACCCTTTGTTCGATAACATTCGCTATGTGGATTACTATCAACTCTTCACCCTCCAACCAGTCCCTTCCACACTCCCTTCCGAATCTTGGTCCGAAGCATCTATCCTACCCGATGTTCCTCCTCAAACAGTGAGCCAGCATAAACAACCCTCCCTCTACCATTTACAGTCAGTAAGACCCGGGATGGGAGAGTTGTTTTACATCCAGGCTCTTCTCTTAGCATTCCCAGCTCAATCATTTGAGTCCCTGCATTGTGTGGATGGCATTGTCCACCCCACTTTTCAACGTGCAGCTCAAGCAGCTGGTTTATTTGCCAATGATTCCGAAGGTCTATCCACCATGGAAGATGCTGTGGCTTCGTTCAAATCTCCCTCACAACTTTGTTTCCTCTTGGTGTTATTAATCTTGGAAGGAGCCCCAGCAATTCCTATTTGGGAATGCTTTGCTGATGATCTAGCATGGGACTATGGTGGGAATGTACTCGGGCCAATGAGTGTTGCTGTGAAAGCTTGTGCATTACTGGACATTCAACATCTGCTTCAACAACAAGGGAAGTCCACTGCCGATTTTGGACTCCCTAACATTACAATCCACTCCACCGAAGTCCTCACTCAATTGGACTATTTCCTTCCCCAACGTTCATTATTACTGAGGAAGAACTCTGAAATGGTTGCAGGCTTTTCTTCCGATCAATGCCATGTATATGACACCCTTTGGAACGCTATCTATCGAAACACCCCTTCCAGCCCCCACCTCTTTTTTCTCACTGGGAGAGCTGGTAGAGGCAAAATGCATGTTTCAGAAGCCCTGATTCATCTCGCTCGAGGTCAAGGTGAACTCCCATTTGTGGTTGGAGCGACTGCATTAGCGGCCTCAAATTATGACTGTGCATGGACAGCTCATAGTGGTTATATGATTCCGGTCATTAAAGACAATGGGGATGTCATTTCTTCTTTAACACCCCATTGTAAACGAGCTGAGTCGATTCAATATGCTCCATTTCTGATCATTGATGAAGTGGGTTTATTAAATGTTGCTGTGATGGAGGCGATTGACTTGGTGTGTCAACTCATTTGTCGAAAGCCACTGCCATTTGGTGGAAAAGTTGTCATAACAATAGGAGACTTTCGACAAGTCACGCCGGTGATCAAGCATGGCTCAGAAATGGACATTTTTCGGGCCTCAGTGCTGTCTTGGCAGTGGTGGCCAAAATTCACTGTTCTCAAACTGTGGCAACCAATGCAGAATGCTGTAGATCCTGAACTGAGCAGATTTGTTGACTCAGTCGGAGAAGATTGCTCACAATCTCGGATTGTTCTTGACTCCTTCTTTCCTCGCACAGATGACCTCAATGTGGTACAAAATTACCTCTTCCCATTTCACATTTTGTCAGACCCCCTGAATGCTGTCCAATGGGCTTTCCTGACTCCCCTGAACACATTGGTTGACGAGTTTAATGAAACATTACTACAACGTTTGGCTGGTCCTTTATGTCAGTGATTCCTTTCTAATTCAGTTAGTGCAGTCACTCAATCCCCAGTCCTCCAGCCATTCACTTTAGCTACAATTCCATCATGGATGATGATGGGACACTGAATGATTCTCACATTGTCGCCTCCCCCAGACTACTTGGCGCTCGTGGTGTCCACAGAAGCACCTAATCACGAGCTAAAACTGAAACCAGGGGCCATCTGTGCTCTACTACGCAACCTGTCTGTACCGAAAGGATTGGTGAAAAATCAATGAGCGCTGATTGTCAGCTGTTGATCACGTTGGATAGAGGTTTGAGTGCTGAATCGAGGCAACCATCCAGACATCTCCCATCTGATTCCCCGTATCAACTTTGACTTCCAACCCCCTACACCCATTATATGATTCGCTGAAAACAATTTCCACTCAGATTAGCATACTCCTCCACTTTCAACAGTTGTCAAGGACTCACGCTGGATCGGATCGTCCTAGACTGCAGGCAAGATGTGTTCGCTCATGGTCAACTATACACCGCATTATCTTGAATTCATCATCGATCCCATGCTTTGTTATTCATCCCTCAACATCAGTCCGACGTGGCTAATGTTGTACATAAGAAACTTCTGGGTACTTCTTAAAATGTTTTGCCACACTTGTGTAAGTGAACTTCTAAATCAAGGTGCAGTCATGGGTTGATCATCCGTTCAAGTGAGAGGTCCATATATGGATTAATGACATCAGCTCTCTGTCCCTCTCTGCCACCTCTGAATATATACGTCCTCTCAAAAGAGGCTTCCACTTTCCCCTGCCTTTCCAAACATGAACTTCGATCGTCACCACTGCTTCTGATGTCATCCTCACATCTGTCTGGATTGTTTCCCGTTTGTTCCAATGGCATTACCGAAGGACCACGCTGCTCTTTCATTCTCTGTTTAGCAGGGGACAGTCCTGTTGGTGACCAAAACATTCGCAAAATTACAATGACTGTCTACACTCAGTCTCCTATGAAAGACAACACACAAGAAGATTCTGTGGCTTATGTTTCTGGCAGTTTTCTCATCATGAATGAAGGTCCTGAAGTGGTCGATGGTCCCATCATGATGTTGGATGCCTCCACTGTTGAAAATATCAGGATTTTGGCGGAAGACATGCAGCCCTCCAACACCCAACTGGCTACTGCCCACTTCGTGGGTCAAGTCACCACTGTGGGTAATGGTTCTGGCCGAGAATTTGGACTGAACGTCAGTACTTATAGTCCAAAGGTTCGTCCCCAACTGGCAGTTGGCATTCTTGAGTTCAACATTTTTCACAGGAAAAAACCCAAGTCTGTTTCAAAGTGCACCTTCACTTCGATGACTCCAACCATCGCTTCGATAATTTCCGTGTACCCCGCCCAGGTTTGAATGTTAATGTCCAAGCGAAATGGAAACGTGACTCCAGTAATCACATGCACTGGCTCATCGAAAACATTGCATACCTTGGGGCCGTCTCCCTAACAGAAGGTGTGAACCCCGGAATGCGAACCTCTTCTCCAAACAAATGAAAATGCATGTTTGGAGGTCCAAAGGCATCTTCTTCCAAAAGTCAAACTGCTTCGGAGTCTGTCATCCATGGGGAATCGATGGCGACCACCAGTGGGCTGACTGAAGAAAGGAAGAACGAGGTGATGTCACTCCACACGGATGAGGTGGAATTGGAGCTGGAAGATGATGTGGACTGCAAAGGCAAGGGTAAGAGCTGTCCCAAAAAATCCAAATAACGATCTGTGTTGTCTGCGACTAGCTGTATGATTCTTCTGTTCCTTACGTTTCAAACTGTGGACCCATCGAAAATGATGTAAAAAAAAACCTCCTGCTGCCTGTCGAAAAGGAAAAAAAAAAAAAAAAGAAACCCACCCCCCTGCCAAAAAAAAATTGGTGAAAGATTACTCAGCGGAAAGTGTGATTACTCAGCGAAAAGTGCGATTACTCAGCGGTGAACTGAGTGTTGAAATCCGATCCGAAACATATACAACTCCACCAGTGCCCATGCTACACTGGTGGACAGTCACACGACCAACGACCGATGAGGAGATATACATATGCAATTGTCGTAAAGTCCTGAGGACTGGCGCGAACGATGAAAGTCAATGCTGAACAAAATGGAGTCTGGGATTGAGGTATGGGTACATGTGTGTACATGCAAAAATGGCTGAGTACTGAGTATGCCATGCTCTCTGCCTTCGTGTCCGAGTGAGGGTCCTCTGTGGCTCTCAATACATGCATGATTATGGCCGTCCATCATCCATAACCTAACCTCGCAGTCTACATATATAACGGGTGTAAAATGAGACCTCCTCCTCAACCACCTCTTAGTATGGACCACAACAGAGAGAACCGAAACTTCATTGTACAGCAGCGACGCAGTTCTTTAGTCATATCAGTGGGTACACTTGCCTCACAACGTCGCAACCACTATGAAGCACACATGTAGAACTGGATGAACAACAACGATGGTTGGCTGAGTTTCATCCAGCATGAACATGACGGAAGACCCCATCTTCACATCTGTCTCCTGGTTCGTTGATTGCACTTCACTCCCCTCCTCGTGTCACATTCACAACATTAGTCCCACAGCATCCCAGCAATTTGGATTTAGTGTTAGAAATCTCTGAACCAAATGCTTTGATATGCATCACTCTTCACCTCGGACACTTTCAAGTTAATGACAAATTCCAAGTATGTATTCCTATCCACTGTCGACTAAACAAGACATTCACCCACCGTTCTCAGTCAAATGAAATTCCTTCTCCCTCCCCTTCCCTACCTTGCCTGCTTACGCCTCCCAACACAACCAAGGAAAACAAGAATGATTGAAATTGAGTGACATTTGGTATAACGTACTCACAGTTCAATATGAGAATCAAAGTGGATGGTGTGTGGCTCATTGTTTGGAACTGCCATCAGCATCAAAGTGAATGTACTGTACATGATTGTGACTGTGATAACAAGAGTTGATGCTGTACAAAATGAAACTCATGCTTAGGATTAGTCTCCCACTTCAATTGGTGAAGAGTACAGTATTGTAATGCTCACATTGTGACTTAGCAGTCACCCTCCGGAAGTTCACAACCAGCTGAAGGCAGTTCAACTAGTAAGTATGTAAAGATCGACCTCCATTTTCCTAAATAGAGTAAATCACATGACCTGACTGGCCATTCATCCTGCCGATTTTTCTTTGGCTTGCTGTTACGCTATGCCGAGTGACTCTGGTGCAGAGTAATATGGGTGCTGAAGTGGGTTGCCATATTTGGAACGCCCCATTTACAAGAAGCTTGGCCACGTCTAGGGCAGGCTTTAGATTCACTTTAACCATCATCGACCAATACTACTGTACTGGCACGACCAACAACCGGTCACACGTCATGCGAGGACCTTGGATTGAATTGAAAATTGACACGGTTGAATTGATTAGCAGCCTCCGGCAACTCCCGGAGGCTGTGGGAACCGGTTGTTGGTCGTGCCAGTACAGTAATAGAGGCTGGTAACCTGCCTACATCGACCAACTGATGCTGTGACAGCCCTCGTCATCAAGATGCAGGTCCTTCCTTTTTTTCTATCTTGTCAATTGTCTTTGTCGTGGAATTTGAAGCGTTACACTTAGAACTGTGCGTGAATTTTTCTCATCTTGTTTGTTGAAGAGACTTGTTCATTCACGTTTGTGCCCTATGTAGCATTGGGTAACCACTAACATTTACATAATATGGTTCCTCTGAGTCAAAGGGTGTCCAAAACGGAAATTTTGTACCGGGAGTCGGACAGAGTCATTTTTTGGATATTAACACCCACTTTTATAGGAGAATGTGTGCGCGTGGAGGGTACGATAGACAGCATTCCGCGTATGCCAAACACACATATCAAGTGGAAAACTTGAAGTAAAACACAGCAACAATCACAAGGATAAGTTCTGACATGGAAGGTGAAGATCCACTTGAAAAGGTGTGAAAGTGGAAATTTGAGTGTAATTTTTGAGGTGGGAACTGCTATATATATAAGTTACTTCATATCCCAGGGGGCCTGGGGGCTCTAGGTCTGTGTCTCCATCTTGAGCACGTGAGAGTGCATGGAATCACCAGGCATGAGACAGAGCAGACGAGGTTCATCTCCTGAACTAGTCAGATGTAAATGAAATGGACATTGGCACAAGAGATTGGGGGAAAAACATGCTGCATAGTCAGTCCCGATTTTTCGGAAAGCTTGGCATTCCCCCAGATATAATGGTTGATGCGATCAAAGAGTTACATGAGACCGAAATGATATCCAAACTTACTGGGTAGGGACTTGCTGGGACATGGCAGTCAACGATGAACTCAATTTGGCTTCGGCAGTTTCTGCAATCCGATTTTGACACCCACGGAGTCATCCTCGCTGAACTGGATACCCCACGATGGCACCAGATTCTAGGGACTTCTTGAGCATCCGCAAGTGGGCTGAATCGGACAAGACCTATTTTGGTCGAAGGCTGGGCCAGTAGATGCTCTGCCTTCGTTTCCCTACAGGCACTTGAATTGACAATGCTCAACAAGGCCATTGGCCATACAACAGCACCCTATCGTAGTCACTGCCATTCCATACGTCTTACAGGATGTCGAGTCTTCAGTATTGGGCCACGCTTAGGCATTGCAGCAAGGTTTTCAATATCTGTATACATATACTTTGCCAAGAAAGACATAAGCAGATCCAGAATTCGAGTAAGTCACGACCAAGAGATGCTGCAAGGGACATCAAAACCACTTAGAGAGGCAGCCACAAACATGTTCCAAAAAGAGCTTTTATCCAGTCTGCGTTTCACATCAGTGATGCCAGATGACCTCTGAATTGTCATCGAGTATGGGCTGATACAGCGTCAACTACTCCTGGATAGTAGTGTATGCAGGAGGTGAAAAACGCTGAAGATCCAATCAACATAGCGCCATTCAAGAGAGCACGCTTGTCTATGTTCCTCACTTATCTACACTCAGAAGAGCAGTTTCATACGCCTAACGTCCAATGGTGGAGTATTGTAATAATTTGTTGGATTAGGGTTATAGAGCGACCAAGGTATCTGCACCAGGAGGCAGATGCGAGCGGTGCACCCAAAGAATGGAGAAGTCATCGGGGAGAATATTCAAATCCATCAGCAAGACTGGCATAGATCGAGGTTATAACGGAGAGGGATATGCCGGTGGCAAGTGGGATAATCTCTTGTGATGAGGTTTACGGGCAGCGGGTGGGGTCTGCAATGGGGTTGGAGTCAGGCCAGCTGTGCCAAGCAAGTTCCCAGTTTACATAAGCCATACCGCGTAAGGCAAGCACTAACCATTCCGTCTTATGCCGGGATTTCCCAGACTCCTTCCCAGTCGCTCACATGATTTCTCCGAGGTTTAGCCGCAACTTACGTTGCCCTCCGAAATCTGTCGAGGGAGTGCCAGTCCTCGATCCGACGTAGGAGATGTAGCATCGCTAACCCGCGCGATCAGTAGTAACCTTCAACCAAGGCTTAGCATCTGATCGTTTGATGACGCGTCGGACTCAGACTCACGCCTTGGGTATTCAGAGACGCGGAGGCCGCCATTTCGAAGCATTTCAAATTATTCGCGTAGGATCCCATGGGCCGCGGCCCTGCGGCTTGGAGATCTGAGCGTCCGTTCATTAGGTTCGCAGGAGATGTTATGTAAACCAGGTGGTTCCTATATAATCATGAACCGGGAACGTCGAGACGGACCGGGATCAGTGTTCTGGATTGGGGGTAAGAGTCCCCCGATCATAATCGCATGGTCTCTAATCGGCATGTTCGCCTTGGTGGCATAATAATATGCAGAATTCTCCTGAATTCTTCCCAGGACGTCTTGTAGTTGGGTCACTGTCCTAAGCTAACAATTCAATGATGTATAGGAGGATGTGGGCCAGCGGGAGGATGGCATCACTTATTGGTCTTTCTGGGTCACGGTCACTACATACGCAACATCGAATCCACTGGCTTAACCGAATCTTTTATAGAATGAATGACGGGCCCTGAGACTGCTTTGGAAGCGGTGATGAAACTTCCAATTTTCCATGTGCCCGAGTAGGTAGGATACCAGTGTCTATGGACTCCAGTGCGGCAACACGACTTTGATGTAGTGGGCTTGCATTTGCCCGGTGTGCCAAATGCCAGTTCGATACAATTGCTAGACACTCAAATGCGTGTCTCGTGACAAACAACATAGCATGTCAGCCCCAACGCCCGTCCTCAGTGAGAAAGCCAAAGGGAAACGAAAAGCTATACCACAAGATAGTCCAGATCATGACGGTGAAAATAGCAAATCACATCAAGCAGTCGCACCACGCTCGTTTACTGTGCGATTCAGTGAAGGTTTAGGAGACCTCAGCCTAAGCGTTTCCCCGGATGACACAGTCCGCGAAGTCTTACGCAAGGTACGCAATAAATCCGTCTAGTGAATGCTTTGCGAGAAAGCTTGCTGACTCTGTCGCTGCTTAAGATCAAAGTGGAGAGACCCTCACTTGCTCGACGACGGCTACGCTTAATTCATTCCGGCCGTTTGCTCACCAATGGAACCAAACTCCATGGTTGGATTGCATCTCTAGAGGAGCGACAGAAACGTTCTCTCGTTCTGGGACCAAAATCGAGTGAAGATGGTGGTGTGTGGGTGCATTGCTCCGTAGGGCCCGAGATACCTGCAAGCGAACTGGATGATGAGTCCGTACAAGTGGGTCTCTTCCTCCAATAGGAATTTATTTCTCACCAAATCGCTCAATAAGAGGTCGCAAATAAGTCCTTTGAAGGGATTCGATCGACTACAAGCAGCTGGGCTAAGTGAAGAGGAGATAGCGAACATTCGACGGCAATTTCATGCCACTCGTGGAGGCGATACTAACTCAGGTGGGGCTTTACAGGATGATGACCAGGGTACGTCTTCCATCCCTGCAGTCATTCCCATACACCACCTCTTCATTACCGTTTCAGTCGAGCACGCAAGAGCCCTCGAGGAGCAATGGATTGACGACCTTGACGGTGCAGCTTCAACAGCTGAGTCTTGTATGTCATTTTCCCGTCATCAAAAATATGGAATCGTCCAAAGTCCCCTCCATTTTAGTGTCTGGGGAAGATATCTACAGCACTCTTTTGTTTGGGATGCTCCTCGGCTTCTTCTTCCCCCTCCTACCGTTTTATTTCATGCGAAGTCCCCGGCCAGCAGTTTTCTTCTCAGACTCATACCAAGCATTAGAGAGCCAGCCAAGCGTTGTATTCTCGTAAGCTTTCCATTCTCTTTCCACACATGGAAGTCACATCTTACCGTTCTATCTAGAACCAGAATGTGTATTGCTATCGTTTTCGGCTTCGTGGCAAACATCGCCTATGGTTCGCTTAGGGTTTGGAACATAACCTACTCGTAAAAAGATTATGTGTAATTCCATAGTGGGGATTCAGATCACAATTTTTGACTTCGTTGCCTTTCCTGCCTCTCATTCAAGCAATCTAGCTCTTGATTGTCGACTTAGCTACCTCAGCCTCTTGAGCCTTGGTCATCACGTCTATGAGTATAGTCTGCTCCTCCCCGGTTAAGGATGCTGTGGCAGCTGCGTATGCTTCGGGGTTAGCAGTTTCGAAACCTGTGGCAGTTGTATCGCTCAGTTAGGATAACAATGGTGTCACACTCGGATTACTAGACGCACTGGTTAGGGCACTCTTAAAGGAGATGTAAGCATTTACTCCGTCGATGGAGCGCTCAACGTGTAGTTCTTCTTCAACTTCATCTGCAATAGAATAGCCATCTACATCGTCCACATCATCAGCAACGGATGATTCAGCATTGGCGGCTCTTATGCCATCCAGGCGTTCTTTCTGGAAACAAAACTTAAGCACATTAAATGAATGCTACGATAATTATGCACCTCATCCGCAATCATTTGTAAGTACTGGTCCTCATCGTCCCAAACGTCTTTATCATCTGCCATATGAGTGGTGAGAATGGACAGAGCAGATCTGATGCATGGAACCGAACCTTCATCTTCCTGTACGTTCTCACCAGCAAGGAGATCCTCGAGGTCAGCGTCGTCAACGTCGCTTTCTTCAATCATTGCATCAACTAGGGCATCTCTCTCTGGGATAACCGCGTCAGCAGGCTCAACTTGACTGAAGCGATGCGCCTTACTCTCAATAGCGGCCGGCAAGTCCTTGAAAATTGCGAGTGCAGCGCCAACGATGCCCGGCCATCCACTTCGCAATGAGGCTGGTACATCTGCAGCATTCATCCGGAGCAACTCTGAGAGTGCTATGACGCTGAGGCGTTTGTCATGAACACGAGGTAGGCCCAGGTTCCCCTTTTTGATCGCCTCGAACCACTTGGTGAAGAATGTAGCAGCAAAACCGGGGTGATTCGCGTCCATTATACGTAGGGCGAGAGGGGGATTGTAGAGAATGGTATTCACGAGTAGGTTCAGAGCGCCGACCCGAAGAGCAGGAAGGTCGATATTCTTGCTGAATATATCGATTGCAGATTTGATTATGCCCTCCAATTCCTGCATTGGGATAATTAGCATTGGGGAACATCACGAACCAGTAGACGCACCTGGTCAATGTGACCTCTCATATTGAGGAGGATACATTCCCCCAGAGCACATCCATGAACATGATCGGCGTCCCCAAGTGAGGGATGAGTTAATGCGCTTACGAAGACATCAATCACCATGCGCCGGTACTCAGGTGATTGAGCGAAAACGTCTTTGCCGAAATCGATAAAATTATCCAACCCAGGAATCATTTCTGACAGAAGACGTTATCTAAAAGCTTCCACTTATCCAGAAAAGGGTCTCACCATCAAGGTAGTCAATAGCAACTTCCTTGAACACCTTGTATATATGCTCAAAGACACTCCACATGTTTGGAGTAATCTGACGCAGTGTGAAAGTGAAGGTGTCCACAAGGGAAAACACGGAGTCAAACGCCTCTGCCAGATGATCAGCCAAGCAACAGGTGGGTCAATTCAAAAGGGACTCACCGACGACCTGCTTTTCCAAAGTGAGATTAATGATAGGAATAACGACTTCTTGGCAGTTAGCCACAATCTCCTTCGAATCTTCGAGAGCATCAAGAGAATCCAAAACCTTCACAATCCAAGTGTCAGCTAGCGAATACGGAAGGTAAAAAGTACAGACAGTCTCAATTGCCCGTGCAATGCCAGTCAATGCCATCGTCTTGTCGTCCTCGACGGCTATGCTGGAGGCGAGATCATCTCGCAAGGAACTCTCCTGAATTGCTACGTATTCTCCCATCACACGCACGTAAGATTGAGCCTGTGAGCAATAGTTCAGAACGGATCAGCGCTGGATAATCTGGGAGGTATGTACCAGGCGAGTAATAATTTGGACTGCCGCAGGGGCCAGTTGGGGCTGGAAGTTATCGATGAAGGTCTCCAAAGCCTCGGTAGTGACATCTAGGTCTGTTTCATCGGAAAGTGAGAATAAAACTATTTGAGCCATGGAAGTGAGTAAATCGGCGGTTTCCAGGATCACGCTTGGCCTACTTTGCATAACCTTATCAATATTAGGTATCAGGGCGGTCTTCACTATTGTTCATATTAACTATCCATAAAGCCAAACGGATGAGGGCTGTCCTGACCTAAATCATGCCGCAACATATGAGTAAGGCATATGACAGCAGGGATGCGGACTGGAAGGTCCGGATCCTCGATAACCTTCCCAATGGCGAGGTAGTGGGCCTCCAAATTCTATGGAAATGGACGGTCAGAATAACTCTGTGAGCGCGAAGAATTGGGGACTTACAGCAGGATTTGACCACACCAAGCCAAATCTTTCGAGACCCCCAAGAACCTCGGCAGCCTGCATCGTCGAACGAATGAACCGATTGTATGGAAGCGTTTAAGGGCACGTACAGACTCACGAATGAATCCATGGTCGGAAGAAAGACCGGGGAGGACGAATTTCACGCAGAATTGCTCCATTTCGTTCTTGACAGTTGGATGGCGCATGATAACGCCACTAAGCGAAGAAGTCATGATAAGAGCACCATATCTCTGGTCCTCCGGTGCATTACTGAATAGTCAAGTGATTACGATGAACGAAGAAAGAGGGTACTAGCTGGCGCACCCGCTGAGAACGTTATTGATGAGGCTGAGAAGTGTCATGAAGGTGGACTTGCCCCTACTTCGAGCGAGCTGGATTAAGAAGGTTGTTCCGGCGGCAGATGGCTCAGCGGCGTCATCAAGCTCTGTACAACGAGGGACAAAGAACCCATGAAAAGAGTAGGACAATTACCGACACAATGATTTACTCACCAACGCTGCGGCGAACATATTCCAAAGGATCCGATTGCCATAATTCATGGCGTTCTTGAGTAAATTTAAGCTCAGGGAAGACGAATGAGGCAACAAGAGTCTGGACATGAGGTTTGAGGAAGTCCCACGTGGCTCTGGGCTTTACACTAAAAATGTTTTTCTCAGTGACAACAGTGAAACCAAAGCACTCAAGTGTACAGACCAGGCAGTGAAGAAACGCAGAATGGCTATCTTGCACTTAGCACTGAGCCACTGCTCTCCCTTAGCGTATGATTCGACTTGTTGTAGATATACTTTGAAAATTTCAGGTGCAAATGAAGTAACAAATTGTTCGGCGAAAGCCTTAACGTCCTTCTTGAACGCTTCGGGCAACTGAGACGGGCTTCCATAGCGGTCGAACAAACGGTCCAGGGTGTTGAACGCCCACTTCTTGGCCTTCCACCATCCCGAGGTTTCCCATTCGTACGGAGTTCCGGGTAGGGGAGCGACAAGCCTGGCGTTGATAATCTGAAAGAATAGCTTACCCCATGGCATGATCGATTCTGGGGATTGTTGGTGAGGAGAAAGGGATGTTTGAGTGGAAGCTTTGTAAGATTTGAGGATGATGTGCATCCCCTCAGCATTTTCGGGTGTGAAATGGTTCCCAATCTCGGTACCCACTTGTACCAGGGTTGGAAAGGTTTTCTCGACAATTCCATGCATAATCTTACGATCGGTGCGGAATCTGGGAAAGATGTGATTCTAGGATCTATTTCTGGAGGATTCGACTTAACAAACCGGGTTGACCTAATTACTTCCAACAAGGCGATGCAAGCGCCATACACAGAGGCACTATTCCCACTCTGTAAGAGAGCAAGTACATCATCAACGATTCCAGGCCATTTGTCGGGAAAGTCGTGAGTCAAAATCGCCTTGAAGGCAGCGGCGAGCTGGACTTGCGAAGGTCGTGATTGCGCAGCAACAAGAAGCGACAAGATGTTTTGCTTGACAAAAACCCGATCAGAATCGGCGATGGGAGCTGTATCGGGTTTAGGGATATCAGGATCAATATACCAGGCGCGAATGATTCGGTTTTTCAAGAAAACTGAAGTCGCCTGTCGGACAGCGCTGAGTTGACAAAGTGATGATCAGCCAATAGTGGTGGTGCCAGAGATGTGCCACTAACATATCAACATGCTGATTTCCTATGACTTGCATGAGGGCAGTCAGGGCACCTTCCTGACCGCCAATCTATTCACCCATTCCACAGAATTTCGCTCCTCAGCGAAACAGGCACCATTAGCTTGGGATGTCCCACTTACGCGTCTAATTTCGATCTCTCCAGCTTTTCGAACATTTGGATCGGGGCTTAATGATGTCGCAAAAAGATTCACAATATCTTGAGCATTCATTGGAGGCGCCTAGTCGTCTCGACTGTGAGGATGGCACTAATTCAAGCCGTGACGATTGACTGTGGAGTGGTAAGTTGGTGAAATGGGTAGTAAGGAAACCGTGGTTGGAGAAATGAAAAATGATCGGACGAGTTTCAAGTATTTTCAAGGTCGTGTCGAAAACGCGGAAGCAACGCGCTTCCCTTTGTGATCAATGGAAATGCCAATTCTAGTACCAATAAACGGCAGTGCGAGCACCTTCGCCACAGTTCGGGATGATGCCACGCTAGCGCTGGGCAATCAATGTGACTGGAACGTGTTGGGGCGAGCGGCTTTGCTTTCAAAGTGCAGCTCAGACCATGCTGCTCTGACCAGCCTGTGTTCTCATTTTGAACTATTCGCTTGGGCTGCTGAAGCAACTGCCTGAAGGACGGCTAAAGTCAGCATTACCTGCGTCGTAGTCTCGTGAGGTGTCCTCCCCCATCTCGTTGCTTTTGTTGAACAATGGAGCGACGCTAATTACCTTCGAGTGAAAATCCCCTGTTCTTATTTGGGGGTGTGGAATGCAGCACCCGAAATGAACTGTTGGGCTCTCGCAAATTGAGCAGGATAGTGACAACCAAGTTGCCATTTACAGTTCTCGCCGGAACATTCATGACCACTTGTTTGACGCGTTCGCAGCGGCCGTGAACGCCGCGCGGGAGGCTTGCTGTTTGGTTCATGAATATGCTGGCCGCTGACGCCGACCCTGCAATTCAGATATCGCCATTCGCAATCCAACAATGAAGACGATATTGAAATGTCCTCAATCGCCAGAACTGATCCAAATCAATAAGCACTTCAGCTCTCCTTCTACTGAGTGGGTTTCAACGGATAATCGGGTCGGGGAAGTTTCTGGCATCTTCCCCTTTATCCTGCCTCTGCAAGCAGTTCGAATCGCACATCTACCCCCATACCTGGTAATCGCACGCTGGAAGGAATGGTCGTACTTCCCGAGATCGCCATCCTTCGGTATAAATCCTTTTTCTTGACATTGAGGTTTACCAGAGGGGCTTCATATGGATCATGGACCATCCAAGCGCGACTACAAAACAAACCGCAAGAGGGAACAATTGCATGAAACCTTAGCTTTGTCTCAATCGTGGCAACATATCGTTGACTAGCCAACGATCGGCACAAAGGGCATTTTCAGCACCTTTGAATGACATGCTCTATTGATTCCATACTACGAATATATTACTACACCGTTCGAAATTATGCGTCCTTAGAGATCTTCAATTCAGCTTTGAGTCCCAGTTAGGACCTTCCCGCGCGGACGAGGGACCTCGTCGAAGGCAGGTGGCAAATTCACCCGGTGGAATTAGTCTGATGGGCCAGCTGGGTGATCTGAGTACTCTTAGTCCGGATTCTGTGTTCAGTCCTAGCTTCAATGAAAACCATACCAGTATATAGCGTGTAGCGAGTCTTTGTGGCTAGCCCGTGATTGGCACCTCTTCTTGAACCACTTCACCTACTGGTAGCCCCGCAAGATGGGTATGTCTTTCTATGAAAATCTTGTCGGGGGTTACTTTTCTGGGCTTGTACTTGAAGCCATGTGCGTGGCTGCTGAATTTTCGCTACCATTCGCTCATATCATCCGATCCTCGTTCGAATCACTTCGCATTCTATCCCTCCCTACAATAGACTCCTAGGAGTAGTCACCGTTCAGACTTTCCTCTATTACCAAAGGTTCTCTAGAGACCACATTGCTCTGAAGTTTTCTGTGGGGTTCTTATGGTAAGTGCTCGATTGAGTGACTTATTGGATGCGTGGTGGATGGTTCGGTGACTACGTATCTATTTTCAGGCTTTCACAAGCATTTGAAGTGTGGGTCAATGCTACGTCAAATATATCCTTCAATGACCCATTGATTTTCTAGGGCCGTTTCGACGATTCCGACTTACAGAGCCATTCTCTACAACGTTCCGATCTCAGCTTCAAAATGGTAACCTTCATATATAAATTCATCACAATGGTTCTGACCTTTCCCACACGGTAGGTACGATACTGTGTTCCAGATTTGTGCGGTGAGATCATGTTTCCGCTCAACAAGGGCCAAGGCTGGCCGACGTACCCACCATCATTCATCCTAGGTTATTTCTTCTACCTCTGTCCAATTTTATTTTGTCTTTCGACTCTATCGATGTACGTCGTCTCCACAGCCTCTCCCTTTCATCCACGAACTCCTGATGTCTCGCCAGTCAGTGGATCGATCTGGTTACCAACACTACTCGTACGCCTCTCGTCGTGTGTCCTGGATAGATCCGCTGATACGCAGAATTTCGTTGATAGGTCCTAGTGACTTTGGTGCAAGTGGGTGAGTGAATCTGGAATGGCGACGAACTCTGTGTTTGACGTGTTGTCCTCTCCCAGGGACTGGACTTGGTAAGATGGTGCACAAGTCGCAAAATTACATTCTGACAATCTCCGTATTTTTTTTGTACTATAAAGCGATCTGTATCGAATTGTAAGCGGACATGTGCTATCTAAATTTGCCGTGTTGATGCCCTCTCATCCTCAATTGGCAGAAATATTACCCACGGTATCCAAAGCATGATCCATCCCGCACGCCCGATTATAATAAGTTGGCTGACACTAGAGGCAGGTTCTCTGCGTTAACTCAAGAGCTTAACTCACATGAACACAACATCAAACCGCAGGCAGCGGCTGACCTCATAATTGCCGTCTCCATGTCGTATTACCTCCAGAGGTGCCGCACAGGATTTCGACAGTAAGCGGTTGATGCACCTGGTTGCGGGTGTGAACGCCTGAATGGATGGTTCCCTTGAAGGACAGATACAGTGTTACGGAAGTTAACATTATATGCTATCAACACTGGTCTTGTAACCAGGTGCAATTTATTGAACTTGTTGGCGAAATAGGCCTGGCTAACCCCCATAATCCAGCGTCCTGGCGTTGGCCGTCATGTTTGCTGTATGATTGTCCCGCCTCTTCTGACGCATCGAGTAGCTCTGAGACTTTCTTTCCGCAGTTTGCGTTTTACGGCTTCCACTTTATCGCAATGATTCTCATTCTGGTGAGTAATATCTGCCCTTCAGTGCAGATATATGGTATCACAGTGTACTATGCTTCCTAGCCGCTTGGAGGGGTCTACAATGCGTCCTTTTTGGCAAAGTGCGTATCCCTTCGCGGGGCAAGCGCGGGTCCGTTGCCGCAGAAAAAATCCTTGGGAAACTGACTACCTCCTTCCTCGTCAATTAGTCTGCACTCGCGCTCGAGACTCAGGAAAGAACTTTACTCTGGGGGGGAACGTGGGATTTCGATACACATATCCCGCATTCCTCATAGGGTGAGAGGGATTCGTCAATGACTCATTTCCCCACAGTTGACTCAATGCATTTGAACAGGTACAAAACAAGATAAATGCTGTTGCTCAGCGTATAGAAGGGCATCACTCGGACGAACGCACGGATCCAACTTCGTCGACGGGTGCAACTCTCTCGCGTCCACCGCCGGCGGGCAACCAGGCAACCAGATCTTATCCTCTGAGCACGTTGTGAAGTGTTGGGCCAACGGCATTGAATATGCGGAGAGTTTTTCGGTGTTAAAGGTGATCGGTGATTCCAACTAATGATTGGAGTTGCAGAGTCTTCCTCTTGATAGGAGCAACCATAGCCGATGACTGGTTTTGTAAGGACTTACTGGAGGTTGGCTGATTCACTTTGTAATATGTATTGATTTTCGGACTCCAAGGATGAGTCTCGTTATCGTATTTGTGGCGTCGGCTGGTGGGACCCGGGTTGGGAGTCCCAGCCTAGTGGGCTAATGTGTTAGTCAAATACATCTATATCATCATTCCCGGGCCAACCAAACATTTGCACTGAATAACTAGCAATCAGGTGGACAGGAATGAGGAAGTGCGTAATTCAATTCAAATGAATGAGAGGCACGAGGCAGGTGGGAAAATGGCAGCCCAAACTATCCCCTTCAAAGCATTTCAAGGAGTTGTTTAGCCATCGCCGCACTAAACCCAGTCTGCTCGCACCTCGTGCGAAACACGCTGACAACTTCATCAGTGACAGGAAGCCCCAGCAATCCATCGATATGACCTCGTTGCGCAAAAGCCGCCAAGATCTTGCACGCGTCCCGATGAGTGTTCCAGTCGGGGCGTTGACAATGAGTATTGCAGTAGTTGAACAGGTGGCACCTTGAACACTTCCCCTCGATGCGTATTGGACAGCGGCGGGGGCAACGTGAAAACGCACAGTGTCGGGCCATGTAACACTCGTGTAAACTCCCGAGAAGATAATTCCAGATGAACTCATCGGTTATTCGGTCCACGAGGATAGACCTAGCCTTCCGAGAAAGCTCCACTGGATGAGGGGGCGGGCTACTCAGCAAGGAGGGAAGGTCCAGAGTCGGCAGGGCATACGTTGGGGAAAAAAAGAGCGTAAGAAAGAGGAAGGTGTAATGCGCCCCATTGATCAACCTAGATTCCGCTCCAGAGGGATCGGCGTGGCGAACGACCACCCATGTGAGCTCGACTAGTTCTCGGCACAATTCGAATAATGCTTGAACATTGTGGACCCCTTTCATGAAATTCCCCAGTTGTTTGTCGTGGGATTTTTGAACTAGAAGCAAGAGGACACTGGCGAAGGCTTCGGTGGTAACATCGAATTGCTGGAGCATGAAATGAAGTCCGTCCACTCCAAGCTCTGCGAGGGCAAGGGTATGGCGGAGAGTGCAATATTTCCGTATGAGTTTCTGACCCACTTCCAGCAATGTTCTTCCCATTGTCTCTGAAGCATGGATATCCTTGACCAATGAGGTCTCTAACTTTGCAGCTCCACTCAAGACAGAGAGCAGAACCCCGGCTTCTTCGCAGGGTAACGCAAGAAGCCAGTCCTCAACGTGTCTGAGGTATTTCAAACGACCTAGTGGCATAAGATCCTGAGGTGACTTGGGCCATGACGCAGGGCGATAATGTTTGAGATTGTTAAAACAAAGGCCAAGCCACAATAGCACCTTTGAAAGAATGACGGTGGTTGTGGGGCGTCGGGAGCCAGGAGTGTCAAGGAACGAATTGATATGACACAATCGAACTAGGGAATTCTGATGATCGCAATTGCAAGGAGGGGGGAAAGGGTCAGAGGGGGAGAGCCTAGAAACCCACGATGCGAGGGCTGTAAGAAACATCGGGTGATAGTTCTTGAGAGTGATAGCAAGTAGGGATGTGTTCCCGTTCGCTTCTTGGATGTTATCAAGGCTGACGATACATCCATTGAAAAAGTCTACGCATCCTTCGAGTTTCTCTTGAGGTGAGTGGATCCATCTCAAATATTGGGAAGTCGTGCCGGTGAAGGCTTGGACGAGGGGAATTATATCCTTTTCCTTGGCCGTGGGGGCTCTTGAAGCAGCTAACTGCTCGTATTTGGCAAGAATGGAGGTATTCATGTATGGTAATGGCCTCGATGGGGCGTTTGCAGTAAGGTATAAATAAGGGAATAACTGACCTCAAGTGTGGCTAGAGGTGGGCATGGCGGCACTTCCCGTTCTCTGTAAGCTCTCTGTTCTACCGCTTCCATCGCCGGAAAGCCATCGAGGTCTGGCCAGAGGGCATGTTTATGAATTATCGGTGCCGACATTCCAGGCAAACCCAAACCTTTGTGCGGCTTTAGAGAGCGCGTTTGATATAGACATTTTGTCCCTGCAATATCAGGGCCAGCCCAATTCAGCTACAAACTACAGCCGCGGCCTAACATCGGTTCGGTTTAATCTTGCGGCAAGCCAAACGCGATGAAAGTTTCGCAATTGTCAAACGAGGCAACAAGCGTTTCGCTGCAATTCAATTCATAGTTGCCAATTTTAGACTTCTTGTGGGATCCTGATCCTCAGCTGGTGCCCAAAGCTCAAACTTGGCCTTTGTTCTTCCTCAGCCACTATTTCTGCTATCGTGCGTGCACAAAAAGACCTCTGTGACCTCTTGTGACTTCACGCGAACAATTCATTCACAAGTTTCAATCTTCCCCACCGTTTGGCGCTCCCAGGAGCTTTCGAACCTGTTGATCTCTTCCATGAGGCGGATTTGAAATGAGCTGAATGGTTCCTGGTCTTGCCGTGAAAACTCCATGGTAGCGGTAGCCCGGGACCGTGGCGGGGTCCTTTCTGGATTCGCTCCCTCAAGTCAAAAAAGACTGCAACTAGATTCGAACTAGACCCCAATTATAACCGGGGACGAGTCCGTGATGTGCAATCCATTTGATTTTCCCGAAAATTATGGCCATTACCCTTCCCCTCGAGCTCACCCATAAACCATTGCGGAACGCGCATGTTTGTTCTGGGCCTCTTCATCTACGACAGCAATGTCTATGCACCATCTGCATTGTGGGTGTGTAGCGTCTGAAGGTAAGGACCTAGCCTGACGCAGAGCCTCGAGATTGTGCTTTTCAGTCCGCCTCGTGTGTATTCACAGTGGGGATGCACGATTCTTCGTATTTTGGTGAAGCGCATCGTGCCCACATGTGTCCTTGGTCCTCCAATATGGGACACCTTAGAAACTTAGAAATGCACCGGCATGTGCGTATCAAGTCGGCCCTAGAGTGCTAAAGCCTTATGACTTACACTTACCACACGGTGTCTGCCCTCGGTCAACTCAGGGATGCTGCTCCTTCACTCAACACCTCGCATGAGGCTCTGTGTTACGCAAACCAGCCAGTGTGATTCTCTGCTCCCAGCTTAGTTTAACAAGGCTAAGGCTTTTGTTGGGCAGCAAGCTGCAGCTTGCTTGTGCCGTCGATACGGTCCTGCTTCTCTCTGGACATGGAAGCCACTGCAAAACGTTCGGAACGCGAACAAATATCGGATTATTGTATGGCACTTATCGTGCCTATATCTCCCTTGACAACTAAGGGCTAACCTGCCATAGGAGAAGTATCAATGATTTCGCGATAGATTGAAGTCGGCATTCCCCCGGGAAACTGAGGGGAGTTGGTTTCCGAAGTGAATCCCAACTAGTACAAACCAGAACTAAGGCTTCCGCTCTCAATAGAGTCAATGTATGAATGTAGGATCTGAGGGAAATGTGCACTTCATATCCTTTTTTGTCTGCAAGCTCCAGGTCTTGTCGATGTTGCATCGTATCCATTGCCATTGGCTCGAAATCATTCTTCTGGTCCGCTACAACTCACTGCCCTCGCTGGTGGTAACGGGATGGGGGACATTTGCAAACATATAACTGTTTTTTCTTTACCAACTACCCACACGTGCAGCACCGCAGATTCCCATCTTCATCTGGGCACGTCGGTTTCGTGTCTATCTAAACGAATGCAATGACGCAACCATCCTTCCAATTTTCGGTTCTCGTTCTCTTCACCAATCTCTCCGTACATGTTTCCTTACATGAGGATAACGATTCACGGGCTGCTGTGGCTTCAGCACAAGAGAACATTCTCCGGTCACAGTCACCTCCGCATTGTGTATGCATACTGCATGAGCGGAAACGTTCAAGGCTCAAGCCGCTGCTTTCCTCAGCTGATTAGGAACCAGCAGAACAACTATCGATCAAAGGCACAAAAGACGACCAGGTTGTCCCCTGCGTGCTGTGGCGGCGCCAGGTTTCCACTTTGCGGGCCGTTGTGGTACGGATTTCTCTCCCGCTCAAATCCCAGTGCTTTTAGTGCATACCTGCGCTTTTGTGGTTCTTGCATTATCCGGATTTGACTGTCGTCCCTGTCGAGTAGATATGATGGCGGACTACCCTCATTTTACGGCGGTTCTCTGAAAAAATGTCGCATCTGATTTCACGGGCAATTGGTGCAGGCCAATCATCTGCCTAAAAAGGTTGGCGAGATCATTTAAATTCGCCGATTTTGGCCACCTAGATCACATACGTTGAACTCATTTTTTCTGAGAACCGCTGTGATATGGAGTTTGATCTAACCTGAAGGAGACTGCTTGGGGTACTATGGTCATGTGGCCACTGAGGGCACGACTGGAACTTTGCATGTACTCCTTATCGCGATGAGACGTTTGGATGTGGGGGCGCCGCGAAGTTGTGGGAGTTGGCTTCAGCAGGTTACGGATGCAAACGTCGCCACCTCGCTGAGGAACAGCAGCCACGTGGTCCGCTCAACTCGCAATTCGTGGGCATCTCGGTAAGCATGATGAGCTAATATCGAGTGTCAGACAGATGGGGTAAAAAAGGGGAATAGCCAATAACGGTGCTCAGGTATTCAGTCTAAGCCCGTAAGACCTGCTACAAGGTAATTGAAGCGATTCGCAGTACCCAGTGTACTAGTTTACGAGTCAGTCCTTCAGCGTTTTTTATCTTCTCGTGCTCACCTCCTCATTCCCCCCCCTTCTTCCAGTGACTTTCACAGATATTCCCCCAGGGTTCCTCGACACGTGCGTTGATCTCGCTAAGCAGGGTAAGGGATCCCCGATCTCCACCACCAAGACCCTCTTTTGCGACCAGAGTTTCGCCGATGACTCCACGGACGCCACTTCCTCCTCTTCGCCCCCGCCCTCTGTCTCCAAGCTGGAGGCCAGATTCTACTACGCGGGCTTGCTCTCTAGCCCCATCTTAGTCTACCGTACGAGCACCACGCCCTGGAAACGGCCCACCGGCCCTGAGGCGTACCGCGAGCTAAAGGAGCTCAAGCCAGTCTTCAATCACGGGATTGTAAACGTCTGGGGCGTCTTGGGTCCAAAGGTCTGCGACTGTCTCGATTCCCAGCAGGTCACGTGGACGAGCGTCGACGTCGTGCGCTTCGCCAAAGTCGGGGAGACCCCCGGTCCCGTCGTTCTATGGATCGGGGTGATGCCCCAATCTCTCTCCGGCGAGGGTGCCCACATCGCCGCCGTCGGTTGCCTGCAACTCCTCGAGTCGTCCCAGCTTACCGACGTCGAAGGGAATCCGTCCTCACCAGGTCGGTCCTAAACTTCTCAAATCCGTCTCCTCCACAAACCCAACCGCCGGAGTTTGCGGTCCTGTCACCCCCGCACTCAGTCTGCCGCTCGCTGCCCGAGCCACCTCGTACGCCGAGGGCACTGGAACTCTCTACATCTCCAAAAGCCGTGACAGCGAGAAGGTCTACGTTCTCACCGCCCGCCACGTCGTCTTCCCACCAAATGAAGGGTCTAACGAGCTCTACAGTTGCAAGCGGACCAGCCAGCCTCGTCGCGAAGTCTTCCTCCCCGGCCCCAAACGATGCTCAAGTCCACCATGGTCAAGATAGGGGGACACAAGATCATGGTTGACTATTACAATCAGCAGCTTCAGGACTTGCAAGGTGGCGGCGGCGAGGAGGAGGAGGAGGTGATTCAGGGAAAGTTGAAAAGGAGGCGCAAGCGGTGATCGAAGCCCTTAACCATTTCCACGACAAGTACTGGAGCGAAGAGAGCCTGCGTGTTATAGGACACGTCGCCTACTCCCCCCCTATTACCGTTGGTGCCGGCGCCGAACGTTACACCGAGGATTGGGCTCTCATCGAGCTTGACTGCAACAAGATCGACTGGGACAACTTTAAGGGAAATGTTGTAGATCTAGGCACGTTTTGATCTATCTCACTAGGGCCGTCTGTCTAACTGCTATATCTAGGCACAGAGATTTCGGTGCACAACTTTACCTCACGGATATACCCCAACCCCTCGGCCAACGCCACTTTCAAATACCCATCTTGCCGCTTCAGGGCATCATCGGGGAAGACGAGCTGCGCCACCCGCAAATGCTAGGCGCAGACAACGACCCTTGCCTCCTTGTCATCAAGAGCGGTTGCGCCACCGGCGTGACCACTGGCCGTGCTACCGGCATCATGTCCTGTGTGCGCGAGTACTTCGAGAACGGCCCTCACCAGACATCCATGGAGTAGGCAATCCTTCCGTACGACAAGTCCGGCGCATTCTCCGCCCCTGGCGATTCTGGCGCCATCATATTTGACGGCCAGGGACGTATCGGCGGCATCCTCACCGGCGGAACCGGCCGGACAGAGACCACTGACGTCACGCACGCGACGCCCTTCTACTGGCTCTTTTATGAGCGTATCAAGGCGCACTTTCCCAATGCCTGCCTCTACCCGGGCCTAGGCATCACGACATCAATCCAGAACGACATCGGGGATGCAGGCGAGGCGGTCAAAGGCGGAGATGTCTCATTCCTTTTTCTTCTTCTGCGACTTCTTCTTCCATCACGCTCCTTTCTCTATAGGCTAATTGTTGGTGCAAATGAGTGCCTTGACTGGTGGACCGCTGTTTAGGTTTGGCTCTTCCTATCCCTCTCATCTTTTCGTATAACTGACGACCTTGATGTCTAGGCCCTGGACTAGTGGACTCATTGTTCGGATTTGTCTTGTTTCTTTTTCATAGAACTAATGGCCTTTAGACTCATCGTTTAGGTTCATCTCATTTCTTTCCTCCTCCCTTTGCGCAACTGACGGCCTTGACAGCCAGGTCCCGGATGATTAGCTCATGTGCTTTGGGTGGTTGGGCATATGGAGGCCTTCAATGAGTCTTGTGTTGAAGTGGCATTCTGATGCCCTTTGTTGTTATAGTTATTGTGGGAAGCATTATCATCCTGACGCTTTGGCCTTTGTTCTTCCTTTGTACCACACAGAAGTGTGTATAAGTATGATGCGTGAGCTGAGAGCACGATATCTAATGACAATGTGATATCGTGCACAGAGTTTGGCTGTGATGCTGTGATAATAACATCTTGTTTACGATAGCTTCTCATTTTTCGAACACTGGCAACTTAACCCTGTATTGTCCCCCCCCCCGCTCTTCCATCATTTGCATTGACATTCAATGTTCAATTAACAATATTGACTTCGTGTTTGATTTCTTCAGGCGCAGCCAACTTGGTAGAATCCCCAAACAGTTTCAAGCGGATGTTGGTGTTCTCAACGATAAAGGCAACTAGACGGTCTGTCCAGTGTGAATTGCTGAGCCAAAGCACACGTCGAGAGGATTCATTCTCGGTTTCTGGGAGTGCTGGTCGTTAATGGCTCAGTGGTGGCTGGTGGCTCAGGTTCTAGGCCAGGGACTTTTTTTCACGCTTGGAATTAACTGCTGAGGAGTTAGCGATGTTGGATTTTCGCTTTGTAGTCCGCCCGCCATGGAGGGGCAAGTCCGGATATTTCACTCCAATCGTCGAGGAGTGGGTACAATCGCTCTACCAAGTTTTGGGGCCGAGCGAAGTCGTATTGTTCTTTAACGAGGATTACAAACGAAAATAAACAGACAAAAGCGTTCACGACCAAATGTATCGGAGCAAGAAGAACAATGGAGTGGCACAAAAACAGCAAATTTCGAAAGTTCATCGATAGGTGAGACAGACCCACTTGAGATAGTGGGACGCCATTAATGGTATATCTAGATAGAATATCAATCGCAAACACCGTGACGACGTGCCAGAAAAATTGGTCTTGGAATAAAACCATCGCTGGGTCGGCCATTCTAGTTATAAGTCAAAGGCAATATGATCCAATTGGAGAAGACCCATTGGCGTTTGCTAATTGGTCGCGAGAAGCGTTATCATGAGAGGTAAGGTCAGCGGGCATACCGCTGGTGACTCCACCAGGCTTCGTCTCACCCGACGTATTCGGAACCGATCCCTCATTCTTATTTCCCTGTCCGTCAGGGGGCTCGAGGGAATCATCATCATCCAGCTTCGATACAATCAAAGCTGTTTCTTCATCATCGTCCATCGTGGCAAGCGTAGATGGCAGGATGGAAACATTCGACGTGAGTGACGCCACTGTATCGTAGAGGCTTTGAACTCGTGCACGCTTGCGAGGTCCCTCACTCAGGTGGTTGGGTTTGACCGCCGTACTTTCGTCCTCCGCATTCGTCGTTTGAGTGAAAGGTTCGCGGTGATTTAGGTCCCACCTTTTAGCGTGGGAGGTTGACCCTTCGCGCGTAACCAGACCTCCAGACCCTCCGAAATCGGTGTTTATGGCTTCCCTGCCACCGACGTTCATATGAAGTATAGACTCGAGCTTGGCCACTCGGGTACGGAGAAAATCAAGTTCGGAATGAATTTTTCCATAGTGTTGTTCCTGTGCGGCGATGTCAACAACACCACATTTGAACCTACAACCAAAGAACCTCTTCATGAAACAGAAGCATTGTGGAAAACGATTACTAACAGATTGCAGGGGTGATGGACTAAGCCGTGCTTGAACGTCTTCCCCGAATTATGCAACGCCTCACGGAAAGGTGCATTGGTGCATGCCGTGTGCGGACGATCTCTCATGTGTGGGTCCAAATCGCGTACTGGGGGAAACTTCCTGCATCTCTGATGCAGTACAAGCGATAAAAGTCAGGCGACATGCCGCCTTATCCCATTGGCAGTGTCTATGGATCCCCTTACCTACCTGGTTTTGGCACTTTATTCCCCGAAAGCCACACTACAATAGGGGAAGGGAGGAGTTATGAGGCTTTAACACGGTGTACGTATAAAACTGACGTTAGGAGGATGACTGCTCTCGACACGGATGCTGCCGGTCCAGTTGCATCCTTCTTTCCAGCTAGAACATCGAATAATAAGCGAGTCGATAAGTCTTGAAAGATTGATGTCCATTTGAGGACGATCATTGTGGTGAACAACTCGACGGCAAATTGGACAGTGGTATGAAGCATGGAAGCATCCACGACAGACGAGGTGGAACTCAGAGCAGATCTATAGGAGTCCAATGGACACCCTAAACGTTGGCAACGTGGGCGTTGACCAATACACGTACGAATACAGGGTCGCGAAGGATTTCTATGCAGGCCCCGCAAACTAGGAATGCCGGAGGAGGTGACACAAATCGATCCTAGTAGGCGGGCCAAGTTATAATCATTTGTCGACACAAATCGGAGGATGAACTGACTTCCGACCAACCCATGGTCTGCGCCATCGATGGAAAGACGACAAGAGCAGAAGAACGGGCACGGGTTCACCAAGCAACTTATCAATGGGGAATCTTCAGGATGTTCCTTATGCGGTTATGTGGCCGCAAGATGAAGGGTCCATTTGCCTCGTTCCGTACTGGAGATGAGCGAGTCAAGGGCATCAGATTACGAGTTATCTCAAGGGAAGCTCGGGCTTTTGCGTATCGACGCCACCCGCAGCCTCTATAACTATATAGGTCCAATAGGCCAAGGCTGCAACTACAACGTTGGTCTGATGGCAATTAAATACCCTCTCACGGGGGCTGCCAATGGCACCGGGAGGCACCTATTGCTACACAGGGTACAGGAGCGATTACGCGGGATTGCAAGCGTGCAGCATATTATTCTTAGCTCTGAGAATCCTTGTCTGATTGCGCCACCGCAAACGGAATTCTCCGAGAAGTCTCCAGGAAATCTCCGATTTTCCACTAGGGCTCACAATGCAATCTCAAGTTGCGATAAGTTTACCAGTCTCAGCGGGTGGCCTGATCTTACCTCTCGTCACGGACATACAATTCGACTATAGGAATCCATACTAACGAACACTGTCAGTTGCCCCGGAACCTACGAGAAAAACCCTCCTTCAAATGTTCCTCGGCGTGTCTTCCAGCGAAGGCCTCCTCAATACTGAACAGCTGAGTAGGAGTAGTAACAATCTAGTAACTGACGCGTAGAAACCCCATTGTATGGTTAATGTGGAATTCATCGACGGTGCCTTCACGAGGACGGGATGAGGGGTGTATGTTGGAATCTGTACGCAAGGAATTGAATGTAGAATGCGTTGACAATCCTGGCGGTTGGAAGTTAATCCACAGCTTTTTCGCGTAACGATCCCTCGGGATACTCTCCCTAACCCCCTGGTGGGGGAAATCAGCGCGTCAGAAAAGACTGAAGGAGCGAAAAGGCATGTGAGACACGAGAAGGGAGCACGATTCACCGTGCTGCATTCACTGAGATTCGTGCTGGGATTCGCTACTTTTCTCTCCGCGTCCATCTTGCTCCCTTGTGAGTGATGCTGCTATATTCTTCCCTATGTGCGATAAACATCGTAAGCCGTGGTTGCCAAAGGAGAGTGGCGGCACCGACTTATTCAGTCGGAAGTTACCAGAAAAAGCGGGACTCGGCGCTTAAAATTCAACTTCATGTCAGATTCCAGTTCACATCACTCCTCGGACCTCCAAATAACTTCTAAAAAGAGAAAGTGGGATGAAATCGGGGTAGGTGGTACGCTACCTTCTGGATTAGTATTGATGACGTATGGCAGGAACAAGGGACGCCCTCACCCGCCAACGGCGGAGGCGACCTAGCCAGCAAAATTGATGATGGCATAGTCGATGAATGCGAATTATTATCAGACGAGGAAAAAGCAGCTGCTGATGCAGCTGGTTGGGAATCGGGCTCCGTTTCCGGTTCATCAGATCTCCAGCCGTCAAAACGCGCGAAACTTGCCCCACCGTCAAACGTGTCTGACGGCCCTGGCCCTGGTTCCAATTCCGACGCAGAATCTCAGTGGAATTCAGATGATATTGCCATAGACCCCGATATACCTATATCTGAAGACAGCGAAGATGACCTTGGGGGTCCATCCTCCCGTTATCTCCCTGCTCTCAACGGCGGCTTCCTCCAGGGAGACTATGGTTCTGACATAGATGACATTGACCCTCCCAAAAAGAAGAACAGGCTCGGCCAACGCAAACGGCAAGCGTAAGTATTTGAAGATGTTCACCTTTCACGTTTCGCCAATGGTTTCTGCATCCAAACAGGATATGGGAAAGGACGTATGGCGAATCCGCAAACCACTTGCAAAAGCAGGAGACTCCCCAAACTCGTGGAAGAGGCCGCGGGACTGGACGAGGGAGGGGTCAGGATTATCAGAGGGGTCGGGAATACGGGAGAGGTCGGGGGAGAGGTCAGGACTACGGAAGAGGGCAAGGGAGAGGTCGAGGAAGAGGTCAGGACTATGGCAGAGGTCGAGGCAGAGGTCGAGGCAGAGGTCAGGACGATCAGAGAGGTCGTGGAAGTGTACAAGGACAGGGGAGAGGTCGCGGAAGGATGCAGGATTACGGGAGGGGTCGTGATGAGGAGTCGGGGAGAAGTCGAGGACATGGAAGGAGTGCTTCTTCTGGCCGTGGTAGCTTCGGGGCAAGGGGGAATGACAGAGGCAGCCAAAGAGGAAGTGGGAGGGGGACAGGGAGAGGGAGAGGTTCAACGCAAACTAACGAACTCCATCCCTCTTGGGAGGCGAAGAGAATAGCGAAACAAAGGGAGTCGCAGCAGATGTCTGCTACACTCTCAGGCCGATCAGGAGGGAAGAAGATCAAGTTTGATTAATTCAGCAGTTTTACTTGTTGCTCTTTGATTTGTTCGTAATGTCATGACCTGTCGCAGCATCTACATTTCGCGAATTCAACTTAATCAACTTCATTAGTCCGAGACCGTGCATATGAAGTTTCGTCGTCTACGAATCATGTGCAAGCGAGGTGATCAGAGTATCAGTACGAGCGACCCTGTCCGTCGTACATGGGGTGGTATGGAGGACCCCCTGCTAAGAGCCATCTCCACACTCTCATTCCAAATGTCATCCTTTCAAATTTGGGTCTACACTCAGTACCCGCCTAACATAATTGCTGTCATCGGCCGATTCTCAAACCGTCGTCATCTGAATGCCCCGTGGTTGTAGATAGTAATAGTAATGGGGTTACCCCAGACTGGTAACCTACGAATCCAAAATAAATGGTATATCTTACTCGTACATAAACCAGATCAGAGTCCATGCTTCACCAGGCATCCAGACATGTCTGCTATCGAGGTCGCAAGTTGCAAGCAGCCTGAGGCGGTGCTTGCACTGAAGGATAACGGAGATTCTCATAGACACTACTTCTATCTCCACTCCCTCCACTCATCCTGGATTTTGTATTGCCTGCAGCCGCGACTTGCGTCGTAGACTCAGCTGCATCGCTGACATCGGCAATGCTTTGACCGGCACTACTGTGCTCGAGCGCAACAAGGGATTCCTCCAGCCTCCGAGCCCGCATCAGCAAATCCATATTCGACATCCTTCTCTCATTTGTCCATGTACGGTCGCCTTCTCCCTCTTCCCCCAAACTAAGATTCCTACCTCCTGCGCGTGTACTGGTCCTCGATCCTGATCTAGCTAACGGAACAGTCCTCACGCTTGTGGCACTTCTGCCAGTATCGCCCATTCTCAAGGCGGCCGAGGCAGGCCCTGAAAGCAATAAAGTGCTTCCTCTTGTGTTCCCATACTCCGGCGGAGCCGGCCCCATAATTTCTTCATCCTCTACATCTCCTGTCCCTCTATATCCTATCGCAGCCGCATACGTTGGTAATGGAGGCCTTGCCCATGGTGCGAGAGGGATGCTCGCCGCTGTTGTGCCTAATCTATCTCCTAGAGAGGCCGAAACCACTTCAGGATGGAGCATTGAGTATCTCTGGGCGCGAGCGATGAAGATTGTCCGTTCCAGTAGGATAAGGAGGAGTAGGGCAATGATCGCAAAAGCAATATGAATGAAAACAACAGATTGCGTCGTCGAAGAATCTGATACTGCGGTGTTGTCGTTTGAAGTATTGGTGTTGGGATTCTTGCGGAGATATTCTACGAGCATAATGGTGAGCACCCATCCCACCACTATCCCTATCAGCGCGAAGATGATGAACGCGAGTCGAAGAATTGTCGAGAGATGCACGCCAAATACGTGAGACTGGTGGACAGTCCTCCCGGATTTGGCGAGCAAGTAATTGAGCAAGTTACCACTAGAGGTCGAGTAATCGGAAGGCGGAGATGTGGAATAGGAGTGGGGCAAAGAGGTGCTCGAAGATGACGCGGGGAGGGGCAAGCGTACGCTGCTCTCTGCTGGATGGGGCCGAAGGACCATAGCCTCTACTTCAGCCGCTGAAGGGATGGAGCCTGGAGGATCCACGGAGGAATAATGGTGTTCATGTTCACCTGTAATAGATCCGAGTCCGCCGGTTTTTGAAGGAACAGACCCTCCTTGAGGAGTGAATGGCAACCTTGACGGGGTGCCAGGATGCATCGAACCTTGATTCTCGTTGAGACTCATGATGGAGCAGTAAAGTGGTGTCGTTCCCAGAGCGCGCCCTCTGGTAAACAGTCTGCACAGGTACAAAACAAAAAGCGGATATAAGCATCCAAAGATTTGTTGTGGAGACAACTGCAGATCATCGCTCACCGGTGAGGCGTGTTAGCGCCTGATCAATCCCGGCCCCAAGAGACCAGCTTCAGCGGTAAGATGGGAACCACGGAAAGCTATCACCCTCTCGGGAAACAGGGTAGCGACGTTTCGCAATTGCAATTCGGAACTGGCAAAAAAACCAGAAAAACGCGCAATGAGATCAAAACAATTTTGGCAAGCAGCCCTAAAACGATGGGTAAGCAGCAAAGAGCGATGTTTGGGCCAGCCAAGGATCGTTTCCAGACGATCGAGGGAAGGAGAGATGGACGTGCTCAGGCTGCGTAGGAAGTAACGGTTGAGATTCAATTGATGTGGTGGCTGTGCGGTTGCCTTCATCGTGTCATGTGCACATTCTTAATTTAGCTACAGTACATCGGGACCAGGGCAGCTCAGGAAGGAAAATTGGGTGTGACTTCTGTTTATAGTGCCGATTCCATTTCCTTTGCGTTCGCCAGTGCTCGTTCATTATATAAGACAAAATGGAGGACTAGCGAGTTATCGCTCAGTCCCGTTGTACGTGAACTAATATAGAATCACCTAGCGAGTTATCGCTGGTATAAGTACATGAATGAGTATATCGATAGAGGATACAGTAAGAAGAGGTTAGACTCACCTCAGTCCCGTTGTACGTGAACTGAGGAAAAGTCGTAAGATCCAAAAATTCCTGCTTTTATAGCCAGGCGCCATGAATGCGCACTGCGACTGTTCCAAGAAAGGAAACAAGCGTAGATCATGAGCGCCGCTAGACTCAACACCAACAAACGTGAGTTGGCCTCAGCGTACGCTACGATCCCAAGAATTCTAATACATTATTCTGGGCATGTCCCAGAGCAGTTATAGTTAGGAACTTGCCGGGACTGAGGTGGTGTGCATCTTGGATGTAGCTAAATAGCGCGAACACGCCGCGTGAGCATTTTAAAAGCTCCTTGCCAATCAACACAGTGACTGACAGCGTTCACAATTCTCAATCATCGTTAGAGATGTCCGGGACAAACACTGAAGAAGCCAACAAATGATGAGATGAGAAGAATAACATGCTTGCCACATGTCTAGCTGAGACGATCCTAACACGAAATTCGAAATTACACAAAACCGTAAAACCCGAGCGTTGCTATTGCACCCCCAAGATCGATGCAATGGGTGGGTGATTCGAGTTGGCCGCCCGCCCAGGCAGAAGTAAGTAGCCCATCAACCAGAAGTTCAAATTATAGAATTAAACATGAAGCGATCCCGGGCCTCATGTATCTTCCTTTCTGACAGGAAGAAAGCGGCTAAGAACCCGAGAATGATTGGGTAGTGCATCCTCAAAGATGTTCTTACAAACGCTCGCGATGCGTAGCAACGAAAACACGTGTGATGCCCTTCGATCTCAATTCACGGCCAATGATACACCCAACCAGTAATTGAAAAGGTCCTGTGCACATGATATGCAGTAGTATGAATAATCGAAATGTAAATATAAAATGGGAGGGCGCCGTAATGACGCCAGATACAAAGACATACAATACGCAGCTATTGTGACCCACCAGATATCGAGCTCCCATCCCCCCTTCCAGGGGGAGTTCCCACAAAAAGAAATTAAGAGGTACTGCATGCATAAAGCTACAGGAAAAAGGCAAATGATCGCAGTTTGTGCGTCGAATGCGCCGTAGAGTGGCTAGCTCTGGACCATGATGACATGCACACGTGCCATAACCCCCACGCATTAAACCCCAAATCTCTACGTTTACGGGGTTCAGAAAGCGAGGCAGATCATTTGACAAAAGCACAAGCAAGTCAAGCATAACACCGTGGAGCACCGTGACAAGGATTCATTGCAGATCGGCAGCACTGCGTTTAGTTTCATCGTGAGGACGAGAGTGGACGCCAAGTTTCAGATATCTGTCTCTTCCAAGGTGATGTGGTCCTGAGGGCAACCTCGATGACGATGACAATACTGAGAAGCCTTACTCGAGCCCGTGTTCCCACGGTCGTTCGCATGACAACCATATTGGCATCGATCGATGGTTGGAAACAGAGATCAGCGTCAATTTGGACGGTGCGAATGAGTCAGCCTGTACGTTTATTGATGGGATTCGCTATACTTAAGTTAGAGGATTACTTGTAGCAGTTCTCAAGTATTTCAGGAAAGCTTGAAAGCACTTAATGGCGGCTGAGAGAAAAACTCACGCGTCCCCCAATGAACAACCGGATTCCTCTCGTTGGTACCTCAATCGATCAGTAGGCACTTCTTCGATCGGGCCTCATCTCGATGTTTCCGTAATTCGAAAATTTCACCGTCATCACCTACCTAAATACTCCCCTACCCGCTTGGTTCGCCTTCCTCAATCGATCTCACACGAGCTCGGTCTTGGACAGATATTTGCAAAAGAGGAGAGTCTGCGTGCTGGCCTCCCGTCCTTCAAGATTCTGGGCGCGTCATGGGCAATCTTTAAGCTTTTAGTCCTGCGCTTCAACTTGGACACCTCCGATCCGAGCATTCCGCTGGATGCCATCAGAGCATGCATAAGAAATGAGGAGACGCAAACTGGATCTAGATTGCAACTAGTCACAGCAACTGATGGAAATCATGGACGGGCTGTTGCAGTCATGGCTAGGCTGGTCCGAGTTCGCGCTATCATCTTCGTTCCCAAACGCGTAGGCGAAGGGGCGGTTAAGATGATCCGGGACGAAGGCGCCGAAGTCATCCTTGTCGATGGAGATTACGACCGGGCATTGTATGAGGCCTGTAAACGCTCTAGTGAAGGATCAACATTACCCGATGGAAGCCGCACAACGTCCATCTTAGTTCAAGATTCGTACGTCGAAGGGGATGCTGCGTCTCCGATTCCGGGCTGGATTGTGGACGGTTATTCTACGATATTTTCTGAAGTAGATGAGCAGCTTGACTCCAACGCACTGGACATGGTGGTTGTGCCAGCAGGGGTCGGATCCCTCGCGCACGCCGCTGTGCAACACTATCGCCATCCTCGGAGCTCGAACCCCGCAATTTTCCTTGTGGAACCCACTTCCGCACCATGCATTAATTCTTCCCTCCACGCTGGTCGCCTTACATCCGTTTTAACGAAGGGAACAATCATGGAAGGCCTCAACTGTGGCACCCCATCTACATTATCATTCCCTGACTTGAAAGCCTTTGTAGACGCTAGTGTGGTGGTTGACGATTCTGCTACACTCAAGGCGATGGGAATGCTTAAAGACGTTGGGATCGACTCGGGCCCGTGCGGTGCTGCAACTCTTGCGGGACTTTACGCCGTACTGGGGCCCAGTGTGGCTGAAGTAGTCCGAAACAACAGAAAGGATGAACTGGGGTTAGACGCGCAAAGTGTTGTCGTGCTAGTGAGCACGGAGGGCCGCAATACATGGGAACACCGACAGAACGTGACTCGGGACACATCACCACTTGCCATATCTGATCCTGTCAAACTTGCTCAAGCCCTAGTACGAATATCCTCTCCAAACCCTGATCTTTCTATGGGTAGTGAAAAATCTGAGGGAGAAAACGCAATTGCATCTTACGTTCGCGACTGGTTGCTTCACCATGGGTTCGAAGTTCACTGGCTTGAACGAACGAAAGGGCGGCCATCAGTCGTCGGCGTAGCCCCTGGAAGTCATCCTTCCTTCGTTGAAACGGAGCCTAGGCCAAAATCAATCCTACTTACAGGCCATTTGGACACGGTTTCGCTTGCTTCCTACAACCAATCAGAGGATCCACTCAGTGGCGCCATCAAGGATGGAAAGTTGTACGGCCGAGGCACATACGATATGAAGGCAGGCATGGCAGCATTTTTAGCCGCTGCTTATAATGCCTCTTTAGAGTCACACCGAGGAGATATTATAGTCGCTTGCGTTGCTGACGAGGAGTATTCTAGTCTCGGAACTCGGGAAATTCTCGAGGCAGGATGGCGAGCAGATGGTGCAATTGTTCCCGAGCCCACAGACCAGCAACTCGCACTATCCCATCGTGGATTTGTTTGGGTAGAAGTGGTGATCCATGGTGTGGCAGCGCACGGATCACGACCAGACCTTGGAGTGGACGCTATTGCGAAAGCGGGGTACTTTCTCGTTGAGATCGACAAATATGCGCAAAGGCTCTCTCAGGGTCCAAGAAAACAGAAAGGGTCTGTCCACGCATCCCTCGTCAAGGGGGGTGAGGAGCCATCATCGTACCCTGCGACCTGTCATATCACATTGGAGCGTCGGACAATTGAAGGCGAAACTATCGAGTCGGTCCAAAGCGAGATTGAGATGATCTTATCAGGCCTTTCTACTACAGTCCCTGGCTTCCAATACACTCTGAAGATGGGGATGTCGCGGCCGCCATTCTCAATCTCATCAGACCACCCCCTCGTTCAAACCGCCGAGGATGCCTACCGCCAGGTACTGAACCAGGATCCTGTAAGGGGTGAACTGTTGGCATGGACTGACTGTGCGTTGCTTCATGAGGCGGGTGTCCCTGCCTTGCTATTTGGTCCTAAAGGTTTCGGTGCGCACGGGGCTGATGAATGGGCTGAGGTGCAAAGCATTATGGATCTCACTGATGTCCTGACAAAATTAGTGCAGGAATGGTGTAAGTAATTGGTCTTGTATAACCGAAGAAAGAGGTGTAAAAAAAGTAGAGAAGTCAGTAATGGAAGAAATGCATCGTAGTACAATGAGATGCCTGTCCAGGGAGAAGAATGGCAGGTAACTGTAGTAAGGAGGGCTGAAGGTGAAAGGAATGCGAACGGGTGGTGAGCCCAAAATACGAAATATACAAAGTGTTCACTCTGGGTCTGGGGGGCAGGATTCCCCATTTACGCTCCTGGCCTGTCGTCAGTAACTATTGCGCTGCACTACAACTGTATCCTCTCCGTTCGTGATGGGCTCTGCGTCGGAAGTCGGGCCATTGAGGTTCGGACTGCTGGGGAACGGGTCTGGAGGGTGACCTGTTTCTCTGCATCCTCCACGTTTTCCCGGCGAAACGACGGGTTTCGGGCCTCGTCCGAATTTTCCTGCGTCCGGCGGAGTAGGAACCATACGATGACAAGGGAAAGCAACGCAAGCCCGCCAAAGACACCCCCCACAATCGCTCCGACATTCGTGCTTGACCTAGTGGCGCTATGGGTTGAGGTGCTTGTGAGTGTCGCAGCCCTCGTGGTTGTGGTGGTAGTTATGATCGCGCTTGAAGTCTTCCAACTCAGAGACTAGGATTCATTAACGGTTAGGACTGCCACCTTCTAATGCAAGCGTTATCCATTAAACAAAACTCACGGTGAGGTTTGAATTCACAGCCTGTGCAGTACCGATGGATACCAAAGTTGAAATGCTGGGCTATGAAGTGGACAATCTCAATTCGCTCATATGGTAAATTTAAGAGAAGGACTCACAGAAATTGTCACGGTAGGATACAGAGATGTAGTAGTGAAGTTGGGGTAAGGCTGGGAATAGGGTGGCGCGGGCAATTAAAGTCAAAGGCCGAATGCATGGTGCCAAAGGAGCATCACGAACATTGACGAAGTAGTCCATGGTTTGTATTCGCGCGCCAGCGTTGTCCATCAAAACAAAGTACACGGTGTAGCCTGCGAACTTATTGAGAGTACTGGTATTCGATTACAAACCTATTAGCAGGAACTGTGTAGCAAGACGACCGCAAGTTTCACCAACATGTACAGATCTACTGAGGATCCATTAATGTTAATATTTGCTGAACTATCGAAACCCGAACTCTTGTCGTTGTTTCACGCGAGGAATGATTAGAATCTACGAAGGAACCACCGGACTTAGGGACAAGACACACATTATGGCCCCGGATCTGGAACAGGCAGGGGGGCTGTTGAACCGGATATAAGTCGAATCCAATAAAATAGGAGCCAGCACAACATGGTCGGTCTTGGCGAGGACTTACAGTGCAGTTGTCCCACTTGATTTCAAACCGCCGACCATTGAAAATACTGCCAGTAGGTGGGTATAGAATGCAGTCGCAGCTGGCACGTCCAAGGAGAAAGACAAACACGGAAGCCCAGTGGACACTGGCATAGCCGAATTTCAGCATGTCTAACCCACCACCACTCCTTTGCCAACCGTTCAAGTGGATCGAGGGCAACTTGACTGGTGCAAGACGTTAATCACAAAGGCTTTGAACGGATTTAGTTGACCACTCAACGATTGACCATCCCGCACAGACACTTCCCTTTTTTGGTTTATTCGTTGTTTGATCACCACCGAATTCGTCGAAGGACATATGCGGAAAAAGGCTCGACCATCTTGGTGAATCAATCCTCGAGTCTAATATATTAGAAAGCATTTGCACATCCATTCCTCATCAATAGGGAAGAGTCATCCCACGTCGTACTATGCATGCTCCGTTCTGGGGCATGTGCAGAATTCTGAACCTTGAAGACCGAAAATGGGGGTGTCACTGTACGCAGGGAACCTGTTTCCAATAGAGGCTAGTAATTAAAATTGCCTACAACTTCGACGTGGAGTACCCACACCAGAGAAGACTCACCAACCCCACCACCCCTCCACCCCTCCCAGTGTTCAACCCCCAGAAAAAATACAAGACGGACCCGCGGAAGCGCTTCTCCACTTGCATCACCCGGATCGCCAACCACATTCTCCCAGGGACAGAGAGGATCAACCCCCTCCTCGAAAGCCCATGGGATTTATCCGAATACGACATCTCCGAACGCATCCAACTCTTCACCCCGCCCAACACACCCGGCAACTCATTCAAACAGGAATGGGCCGATGACCACCTGGCATTCACCACCGAATGCGAAGACGACCCAGACCTCCTCTTTGTATACTCGGACGGCTCCCGATACAAAGAAGACGGAAGGACCAAAACCGGATATGGCACAGTAGGATACCACTGCGGCAAGGCCATATTTGAAGAGAAAGGTGCCATGGGCGAACACGTCGAAGCCTACGACGCGGAGGTGATGGGCCTAAAGACAGCCGCAGTCAACATCCGACGAACCCTGGATGACGGTAACGTCACCATTAAACCCTCGCGCATTGTCATATACGCAGACAACACGGGTGCACTGAATCGCGTTTTCCAGGGAAAACCACACAAAGCGCAGGAACTGGCCAGAGAATTCAGAAGGACAATCTGCAAAATCCTCACTGAGTTCGAGAACGTCAAAATCGCTCTGCATTGGTGCCCAGGACACCTCGGCATACCGACGAGAGAGCAGACCAACTAGCCAAAGACGGTGCCTGCCTCAGGCCAGCCCGCCCAAACTTCAAATCCCTCTCATACGTAGAAAGCCTACGCAAGAGAGAGATGGCCGAAGCCTGGACACACCGCTGGGTAAACACCCCGAACTCCCCGAGATCGGGCTTCTACGAAGCAAACCAACTCGCACCAAAGCTAAAACCCACCAAACGTTTCAGCAACCTCGACAGAAAGACATTCAGCCGAGTCCTACAATTCCGCACAGGACACGCCCACATCGGCGAATACTACCACCGATTCGGCATAACAACGGAGAGCAAAGGGTGCCAATGCGGCAAACCCACACAGACGAGGACCCACATTTTAGTGGAATGCCCCCGAGTGTACAGACACAGACACCTACTTGGACGCGGCAACCAGACCAGGTTCCACACCCTCGTAGGAAAAGTGAAAGGCATTGAAAGACTTGCGTCCTTCATCAAAAAGTCCAGAACAGGTGACAAACACCAGACCAACGGCCGCCACGCGGAGAGGAACACGACCCCAGGAACCCGGACAGCCGGGTAGACGAGAGACCACGAAAGCACAGAACGAAGCAACGGCGGAGGAGAGGAAGAGACGGGCGAGACGAACACAATAAATTATTTCCTTATTTTCTATTTCTTTTATCAACACCTCGACAATACCCACCGACACCACATAACCCGAGGATCACTGACACCAGACGATACCAACCAGACTACCCACACATCATGTATAGAAAGTCCCCTTCATGTACGCTACGGTGTATCGACGGGACAGCCGCACTGCCACGACATCACGAGGGTATTGGGATAGATTTATCATCATCATCATCAACCTCGACGTGGAAAAGCAATCAAATTCTTGTCAATTCAGCCTTATGGCACAAGGAAATTTGAGAACAAGGCATGTTATCGTTGCGAAGTTTTTGTTCCGTGGGACGGCCTCGCTGTTGCTGGTGATACTGACCCTGCTGAACACGTAAGAACATTCCTACGGCCCTAACTGGCCTTGCAAAACCCTGTCAATTACATAACACCTCCATTCACACCCCCCTTCACTTCAAGCCCGCCGGACCAAAACCCACGTTAACTCCCCAGCAGCGATCCGCCATCTATAGTATGCTCTCAGAAAGGGAGCTCAGGTTTACTGCCCTAGTTATCCTTATCTCTGATTTGACGCACCACGACGAGGCAGACAGGTTATACAGCAAAATGGGAAAGATATCCACGCTCCCGATTTGGATGAATGGGTCTGATGATGACCCGAGAACAGCAGCAAGTCAGAGGCAAATCAAGGGTCGGTGATCGCGTTTCGGCGTCCGTTCGGTTGACTGTCTGGCAGTGAGTTAGAGAGATAAGGTCTAGTTGGATGTATGTGTGTCACATCGATAGTTCCATCAAGAATCAGGTCGCGGCACCAATTGGAGTACGATCGACAGCGCTTTTCTGATGGCAATTGTGGGATTGCCCACGTGCTCGTGGTCTCGGACAATATTGCAGTTAGGAAACCGTTTTGGCGTGCTTCTCACAGCGGTATTACAGGTGGTACATGAACGTGGCTATCTAGAGGGTCTTGCAATATACTCATCGCAGTAATATTCTGGAGTGCATCGCTTTCAATTGAGTCTAGCTTACGAATTCATGAAAAGCTCTGAAGGTCGCAACAGCTGTTGGTCACCTAGGAGGGAATACATTGGATCGATACAGCTAAGTATTACATAAGTGACGGGCCCCTTAGCCCGAATGAAAGCAAGAGAAAGCAACGGATATGGAAAGAGGGAGAACAGCCAACAAGGGTATAATGCAATTGTCATGACAATCAACAAAACAAATAGAGCATCCCATGTAAATCCATGCCATCGTTCGTACTAAGTAGTACTAGGGGACCTTCGGGCGTAGGTATGGAAGATGGCTTGGTGCTAAACTTGGGGTAAACCTCGATACACTGAGTCTCCGGGAAGCGGCCGGGGGATTAGAGTCGAGGTAGTTTCGGATCCACCGAAACGTTCCTCAGGATGATATGGAGATAGTGTAGGACCGTATTGGGTCGAACCCGCATACTGGCCCGGGAATAAACCAAGGGTTCCTTCGGGAGGATAATGATAGGTTCCCTCCCCAGCACCAGCACCTGCTGTGTTATAATTGTGAGCTCCTTCGTGATAATTTCTGCTTAGGGTCGGATCTTCGAAGTTTGAACCCTCAGCGAATAAGTTCTTAGGTGGACCAGTTTGGGCCATAGCAGTTGTTGGGTAAACTGATGGATCTATGAATTCGCCCGAGTCCCCTTGCCTATGGTGGCGCAGGAACCATACGATGGCGAGAGAAATCACTGAAAGTCCTAACAGTCCACCAACGACACCCCCAACAATCGGCCCGACATTCGTGTTTCCGCTAGAGGGTTTCGCGGCACCTGAAGTCGTAGTGCTGGAACTTGTCTCGCTGGGGAATGACGAAGATGGGCTCGTAGTCGAGGTTGAGGTTAGAGACTATGGTTCGTTCAGGGTTCATCGATGGCTAAAATACAAAAAGATCCCTTACCACCAAAGATGAAAGCGAGAGCAAAGATTCACTGGACAACTGTGATAAATTTGTTGGCTTTCCACATCCTGATAATATATTATCCACTGTACAAGCACTTACCGACGAAACCGACTGCACGGAAGCCGAACTGAGGATGGAAACCGAACGAATCGAATTGATGGTCTGAAAAATGAACCAAGAACTGTACCCAGTCGGTCGTGTGATAATATGAAACAACCACCTACAGCCAGGGACGAGGTAGAAGCCTGGGAGATACTAGCTTCGTTAGGATTAGGCTGGAAATAGACAGAAGGGGGGGGGGAGTTAAGATAGACGACGATTGTTATTTGGCTAATACACGACACAGAAGTTCCACGACAAACTTTGACGATATAGTCTGGGCTCTGTACTTGTACGCCGGCTCCGTCTATAAGAAGGAAGTACACGTCGTAATCCACGCCATTTTCAATGGTACTAGAATCCAAGCAAGTCAGTGACAACTCGGGAATGAGGCGGTCGCTAGGCAAACCCCACGCACAAATACACAGCTGTCGCAGTGCCGTTGTAGGTTGATAGAAGCGAAGTGCTCTGTCGTTATTCACCACAAAGGGTGATGGTAAGAAGCCATGAGAAAATCGTTCACCGTAAAACACACGTTACGGTTCCAAAACTGGATCAAGTATGGAGACTGTTGCGCAGCATGTCAGCGGAGTTTGGGGCATTTGGAGAAGAATAAGGAAATTAAAGTCATCCAGACTCACAGTACAGTTGTCCCAGCTAATCTGGAACTGTTGATCATTAATGATACCATCAGAAAGTGGAGGTGGGTTCAAAGTGCATTTCGTAGCAACACGTCCGACAAGAAAGGTGAGCAGGAGTGCAAAAGCCCAGGGGATTAACCCAAATCTTTGCATGTTTCCTCTCTCCCTCCTCTCCCTTTCTGTGTGGTTGGGGATGGTAACAGAAAAGTTTATTCAGCTTCGTGAGGGTGCGGCGGAAAGATGGACGGAACAAATTGTTAAACTGACTGATGATCAACGGTACAGCCACAGCCACTCCGAGTCTCCGACAAAGTCATGACCAACGCGTCTGCCGCTGATGTTGCATGCCAACTGAGCGAGCACCCATATGTTGCATTGTACTAACATAGTGAAAGAAGCGGGCCATTGACTCCCTTGCTTGCCGTGTTGGCCAGCCGTACGTAATACCGTGGCGGTGTTAAGATTAAAGACAAAAATTGAAATCATTCGGCACACAATTCAAAGACTCACTTCGGTGCTTCCAGCCGGGAAGTGGGACACTCGTCAACCCCTCGGCATCCGAGCCATCGATTAGCACAGAATTTCAGTATTTATATTTTTGGTGGAACCTCTTCAGGATGCCGAAGGTTGGTAGGGCAGGTAATATGTATCGGAAACCTGCATGGCAACCAGAAAGTGGGCCCTTTGGATGCAATGGAGATAGGTATCTACCAGCCTAGCCCGCGCAGCCGCTACAAATGGAGTCGATCAGAATACTGGGTTATGAGAGCAAAGTTGCTTTCAAATGCCTATCAACGGCCTGGGAGATGTCAGCAATTTGTTCGCGCTCACCATCCAGATTTAGACTGAGCGGCGATAGGACTAGGATTTGAGATCCGTAGTGAGATCACACACGACGCCATCATCGTCAGAGCGTTCTTTCGCTCAGTCCTAACAAGCCTGGCCAATTCAGAAGTAATCTCAGCACCTGCCGTTGTTATCTGTCCCTCCTGCGGAGTGTCTCGATCTTCCCGCCCCCCCCAGGTCCAATCATCGTCATTTGATGTGACATTCTTAATCTTGGACAGCCCGTCCCCGGTAGTCTCGAAGACTTTATCAAGCCCGCCAGTGACAACATTTGTGCATTCTGGCATACCATCACAACTAACTTACTGTGGCCCCGGGGCCCGCTACTATAATCGCACTCAGCCACGTTCCGCCGTTATCCAAGGGTGATTTCATCATTGCTTCCATCCTCAGAAGCGTGGTAGGTCAAGGGCTCCACTTTTGGCCATTCGCATGAAAGGGTCCATTAAGCCAAACTGCAGAGCCAGTTTCGACACACATGACCTATTCATGCCTGAAGCTGCCTTTTCATCTACCTGGAACAATATCCGGCTCATTCGGACCCCTCTTAACATGGTTCCCGAACACGGCAATGATGTATCGCCAATAGAATGAGTGGTTGTGAGGATTCGAAGATTCTGTTAAATACACTGTAAGCCGGCCAGAATGAAACCATCGGCTAGCTTCGTGAGGCGGGGATATGTTTCGCCACCGATTGTCAGGAGCGCACGATGTTTAGATCCACTGATGGGCCCGCCGTGCATTGGACTAACGGATTAGCAAAACCTCGAAGCACCCTTATGGAAGGAAACAAAACAGCGATGAGCTTCGGTTTCACGCGTCACAGGTATTTAGGTGAAGGCTTCTGTACTTTCGGCGTTAGTCTGATAATACTATAGTACTACATACTTCGGGCCTTCTGAATTCGCGGACGGCCCGCAGGGTGTAGAGTGACTGTTTTATTTGAGTTCCATGAGAAAAGGGCAATACCAGACCGGCGATGCCGTTCCGCTGACCGGTGGCCAACCTTGTAGGGTAAGCTCGTCATGAATTGCATGCATGCATGCAGGGAAGGCGCAAATCACAACTAGGCCACGCAACCAAGAAGTCTTGGGGAATTCAGGGCGAAACGGCGAGTTATGCCGGGCTTCGAGCCGGCCTCAAACGGTTCACCTTGACTCCGTCCGCTGAAAAGTAGACGGACTCAAGAAAATATCAAAACTGAGTTACATAAATTTGGCTCTTCTCCCAAAACTGCCAAGACAATTGAGGGGCGATTGTGTATAGATGTGGCGGGAGTTATGCTTTAGTTGTTTGCCAGGGCTTTGCCTTTCGTTAATCACCCTGGTGGTTCAAATCTCGGCCACCATTCGCCGCCGACATACGATAGAGGGGAGATAATCCGCAGCTCATCATGATGTATACGTCTCGCGGCGCAGGGAGGCCGAGAAAGCACAGCTGGTCGTCTAGGGGACATTTCCCACAGGAAGTTTTCATATGATCAGCTGCTAACCAACGTCAGGAAATGGTTTGGACGGTTTGATTGTGTTGGATGCAGCAGGTCTACAGAAGTTGGCTAAACCGAAGCGCAGCTAGCTGTCGCGACCGTGTACTGATAGAACACCCCGTTGAATCCGTTGTTGGCAGTGACGCGGGCAGCAGTTGCGCTGTCATATGGGCTGGAGTCCGGTGGCAGCAGTGACACTCCAGGGCGGACAAGTTTCCCACGCACTCGCCCACCTCGCTCCTTTCAGCGTGAAAGGCTGCACACGTCATGCCTTACTCGTATGGTCTGTTGTACGTGTTGAAGTTTCTTGAATATTTGTACGCAGTGGAACTACTCATTCGAGTCCTGCGGATTATATTTCTTGCGCACGGACATTTCCCTACAGGATCGCCCGATAACTTGCGTTTTTAGAGTCCATGTTGATGGACGCAGTCGAGGATGGCTTGAAAGCCACCTAGCTCGGGCAATTTTCTTTCCTCTTTCTTCAGTTCGCATACTTGGAACTGAGGTGAGATCTCTTGGAACGTAGTCTCGATCAGACGTTCTAAGATTGTATGTACCTCCCTAGCGCTTATACGCCGTTAGTCCATAATTCGCTCCAATAACACGTTAACTTGACGACTGTACTAGACCCTTTGACGTCGCTGCCATCGGTGGGGAGTGAACGATATAGATAGGAGTCCAATGAAAAGTAAAGAGTCGGAGTTTCGTTGGATCAAAGTATTACGTGTCTGCCTTGATTACGCTTGTGGTTTCTATTCCCACATCCCACTGTGTCACAACGACGAAGACATTAATGATACCGATCTGTTTGGCTTGTTCTGCATATTTGACTTAAAAACTTCAGGATGCTCGCGGGACCACCAAGAGCAGGGATTTTCGGAATAAATGCACGGAACTGCAGTTAGGAAACAGTCTGATTTGAGCATGCTCATCCTCCTTCCAGGCAAAAAACCATAGTCCTCTGGCGAGACACTAATATCGATATAGGATTTAGTGTGTACATACATAGCCCCATCCTGAAGTACGGCGCCCACGTCTTCGTCACACTCTGGCGCGCTGCCGACACTTCCCAAGCGTTCCACAGTACCTAACCCCCTTAGTTAAACACCTACCTAACTAGACTCGAATACAGGGGGGCGGACATGGCTTCTGTAAAGCGGCCCAGTCGAACGGAGTGCACTTCCAGCATGGTAAACTGAGTTCCGAATCACGTTTTCGCCTCTGAGTTCATACACTGGTTTGGCGCATGGATAATGAGGACACTCCCATTCAGCGTTCCAATAGCAATAGCTTGAAAGTCGCGCGAAGCTTTCCAAGTGGATATGTTGTCGCTTATGTAAGCAGGGGCAATAAAGTGAGGGATTCCACATTCCCCAATAAACAGATGAATGTGGTTGAGTTCATCATATTCGACTTCGGCAAACGAGCAGGCATTGGGAACGGTGACCATGTCGGGACCCGGATCCCTGTATATGTAGGATGGAACAGAATTGCTTCCAGTGGATACTGCCTCCCCCGTTACTGCATCCCAGATTCGTGTTGTATTGTCATGCAATGCTAAAGCAACCCTGAACCCATCGGGGGAGAATGAAACTGAGCGGACCCAGTCTGCAATGCCTCGGATGACCTTGAATTCCTTCCCAGTCATTGCATCCCAGATCCTTACCGTATTGTCGTTGGATGCTGAGACTAGCCTAGACCCATCAGGGGAGAATGAGACTGAGAGAACCCATTTAGTGTGCCCTTGCAAAACCTGCAGTTCTTTCCCGGTCACTGCATCCCAAAGTCGTACTGTGTTGTCATAGGATGCCGAGGCTAGCCTGGACCCATCAGGGGAGAATGAGACCGACGGGGCCCCGTGGGTGTGCCCCCGAAGGACTTTGAGTTCGTCCCCATTCCCCACATCCCAGATTCGGACCGTACAGTCACTAGACGCCGAGGCTAGCTTGGACCCATCGGGCGAGAAGGAAACTGAGGCGACACCGTAAGTGTGCCCACGTAGGACTTTGAGATCTTCCCCAGTCACCGCATCCCAGATCCGTACTGTGTTGTCATAGGATGCCGAGGCTAGTCTGGTTCCATCAGGAGTAAACGAAAATGAATTGACCCGGTGAGCGTGCTTTCGGAGGACCTTGAGATCTTCCCAAACCACCGCATCCCAGATCCGTACGTAGTGGTCATGGCCCTCCGCTGAGGCTACTCTGGAACCATCAGGGGAGAATGTGACCGAGACGAACCCATAATGGTTCCCTCCGAGAACCTTAAGTTCTTCACCCGTTACCACATCCCAGATTCGTACGTCATAAGCTGCCGAGGCTACTCTAGATCCATCGGGGGAGAATGAGACTGAAAAGATCCGATCTTTGTGCCCTCGGAGAATCTTAAGTTCCTTTCCAACCACCACATCCCATATTCGCACTGTTTTGTCCCCCGACGCCGAAGCTACCATGGGCTCGTCAGGTGAAAACGAGACCGAGTTGACCCAATCGGTGTGTCCTTGGAGAACCTTGAGTTCTTCCCCGGTCCCCGCATCCCAGATCCGTACCGTATTGTCGTTGGATGCTGAGGCTACCCTGGATCCATCAGATGAGAATGAGACTGAGTTGACGCAGTCAGTGTGTCCCTCCAGAATATCACGCAGCTCCCCGGCCACTGCATCCCATATCCGTACAGTGTTGTCATGGGAGGCTGAGGCTACTCTGAAACCGTTGGGCGAAAAAGAAACTGAGGCGACCGAGGAGGCATGCCCTTGGAGCACGTTGAGTGCTTCCCCGGTCACTGGATCCCAGATCCGTATGGTGTTGTCCTTGGATGTTGAGGCTAGCCTGAATCCATCAGGAGAGAACGAGACCGAGGTGATCGAGGCAGAGTGCCCACGGAGGTCTTTAAGTTCGTCCCCAGTCACCGTATCCCAGATGAGTATCGTTTTACCATCAGACGCTGAGGCTATCCTGTATCCATCAGGAGAGAATGAGGCCGAGGAACCGTAACCAGTGTGGCCGCGGAACGTGTGTAGGCAACCATCCCATCCAAAATCTTCCCCTTGTATGGTTGGGAACTGTTCCTGGGATGATTTTCCGTACTGCCTTTGCCAATCCAGGTAAGATGAATGAGAGAGAGCTGAATGTGTGATGTGTCCTGCCGAAGCTGAGATGACTTCGTGGTATTGGTAGGTGAAGCGACGGCACCGAAGCAGCAGCTGAAGTAAAGATTTGTTTCGATTCTGATCCTGTAACCGGCGTGTCTGACTCTATGGGATGGCATTGCGTATCTCATAATCACCGGTAGGAAAATGGGATCCCATACCTCATACCATATACTAACTTTTTCCAATGCAATCTGGGCATTCTTTGTGGCGCCAAGCAGGCTCAAGAGCTCCAGCCATCTGATCATCGACGCAGCGAAGAATGTTTCTAATTGGTTGAACAGCTCAGCCCGCGGATTGCCAATCTCCGCCACATGTAAAAGGCCATATAGTGCAGCATATTGAACTTCCTTGGGAATTTTCGACTGGATCTGAAGCGCAAGATCCGGAATATGAGAGTTGAGGATCAAAGGGTTGGGAAGTCTGAGAACATTTCCCTCCGGCAAACGGCCGAGGATGTCAATGCAGTATAGGGCAATACGAGAGTGCATATCACTCCATTCTAGGCGAGTAGGAAGCGAGGAGCCAGTAATCCATTCCAGTGCACCTTGTGAACGGTAATAGGTATCTGAGCTCTGTGATGGGTACGCGATTTTGGCAAGAAATGTCCCAATTGAGTGAGCAAGCCACCCCCTTGGCATTGAAAAGCTTAAGGGCTGCCACAGAGGGCTGAAGGTCTGTCGCAGAAATCAAATTGTGAGTAACGAAAAGGCGCAGTAATAAAAATTCCAGGCACCCAAGCTGAATCTCGCAAGGCGGTCATGATCTGCTACTAGATTAGCCGACCTTCCAATTGACCATACTGCCCATGACTCACCGTAGTAGGTGTTACATGCGTGACCACTCGTTGGGAAATTCTCCCTCGAACATCAGGTGCCGTAGAGCGGGCAACCGGACCCCCGAGCGTATAGTGCCCGCCCCCTGAGGCTTCAAGGTGCTCTTGCAAAAGTGAGCAGAGCATCCAGCAGTTTTCCTGCAAAGGCTGTGAGCTTGTGTCGTAAGTTTAAGCACAATGGAACCACACCGGCCAAACTTTGTACTCCAACAATTCTTCACAGATAATACTAAGATAGAGACCAAAATCACCGAGAAAGGGTGGCCGTTCAAAGTTTTGAATGTTCTCTCGGCGCGCCCTTCCGGTGAGGACTCTCTTGGACCCAGAGAGCTGAACCTGGAGCGAGAGTTAGCGGCAATTTATAGTACATCAATGAAGACTTCTCACCACGTCGTGGGCGCGAGTTTTCCCAAGTTTCCGCGCGAGTGAGAAAAAGCTTATTCCGGCTCTTCGATCAATCCGAAGCCATATATCTTTTTTCTCCGGACGGCGTAACTGGAAGATGAGGAACCGGTGCAGAACAAGCTTTATAAGTTCAGAATAGCATGACGTGCTGACGATCCTGGCGGTTTGAAGCCATAAATGTTTATCGATGACTTGTTCACAGAAGTCTTTTAGGGAAAATGTCCTTCCAGAACTCCGGATTGAGAGAACCGATGCATTGGAAAAGGTTGAAAGAGTCGACAGGCTTCGCGTAACGGGAGTGAGTCGAGCGCCTATGGCGAAGTCCATGGCCTGCAGAGCATTCAAGCCAGGTTCCGTCACAAAAAAATCATCCTAGGAGAGGAGTGAAAAATAATGAATGAATAACAGGGAACCAAATAGAACATACAGCGCTCTCCTGTTGAAACCCTCCATTTCCATGAGGAGAATCGAGGTCCGACGGAAATCCCTCGTTGGATGCCGGGGTGGCGCTGCGGACGACGGATGGGGGGTGGTTCGAGTCGATATCTTCATCGACTTCTTTGATACGTGGGAGGGGCATTTAGTGATAGTTGTTCGGCGCGGCAAGACACCCGGATTTGTGGTTGGTTGTTCCGTTGGGAACTGTCGTCAGTTGTGGGGTCATTCTCATGGCGGTGTCCATGCATTCAGGCTCGGGCTTCGCCGGCCTTCGAGCTCAAAAAGTCCCGCATTTGCACTGGTCAGTTATGAAGTCCGATTTATCAGGTGTACATGTGGAGAAGGCCCAGTCATCTCCCACGGGTAGCACGACGCGTCAGCGGAATAACTGGTAGAGTTGTGGTCGTGGCCTGTCCAGTCTCTCACGCCAAGGGGGATCGTTGTTACATGGTAGTGTTTCCTGGGTGTAGCCAGCCTTATAGACTCCATCGGGTTGGCGGTCGGGACCAAGTGATCTGATCTAGCTTCTTATCGATGAGTCTAGCCAAGTATCCCGGGTCTGCTCATGGGTATGTCACACTAGAGTGCTCCCGGACCGTCGACTGGATTCTTCGCTGCCGTGAAATTTCTTATCGCACACCATTGGACTCTCCGGTATGCACGCATTAAGACAATATCCATTTGCGATAAGAACTGCACTGCCTGGCCAATGCTCGCGGGTCCCTGCACCGTCTTCGTGTTTCTCTAAAATATTCTTGCAGCTGCCCTTGCCTGTGATCATGCGCGAAATGAGATGAACGACGCTATGAGCCCTTGGGTGTGCATGTTGCTAGCTAGTTGGCGCGATACGATCGTGGGTGTTGCGCTGTGTGTTCTTGGGGCGCGTGTGATGTTCGAAAGCGGCTGGAGTCGTCGGACTCACCGCATCGGTCAGCGTTGCTCGAGCGCTTCCTTGGCCCTTCCGGGTGTGCTACATGTCCCCCACAACTATATTGCTGTAATTAGTAGGGCAGCTCATGGTAAATTTGAATAGGATTGGCGCCGTAGGCGTTTATGGTGGAGCAGCAATGAGAGCAGCAAGTTGGGAATATGGGTGATGGGGTATACCTTTGGGACTCTACTGGAAGGGAATTGCGTCAGTAGAAATGATAGTGCGAACTGAATGATGATGAATATCATTGATACGGCACTCTCAAATTGAGCTAGCTCGAAGCTTCCAGATAGATAGGGAACCATGCAAGTGGGCGAGACAGGGAGACCATTGCCTTATTTGGAGGGTTGTTGAGCGCGGGAGGCCCGTCGGCATAAGGAGTGGACGCTAATTCAATTGATAGTTGATTGAGCATCGCACGTCACTGACGGCGATCTCACTAGAAAATTGATGAGCGCTGGCGCTCTGTACAGCCTCTCCTACCGCAATACAATAAAGGAGCAGGACTACTATAATATGAGAGATGTCACAGCCCCATTCGTACTGATGGCCGCATGCAAGGATAAGCTTCCACTCAGCAGTAGCTATGGTGGGACCAGGGCGAGATGGAGGAGACAAGGAAGGACCAAACTAAATGATAGTTGTCCTGTTTGGCCCCACATATCACACGGCCTCTGAACGAATTATCGGTCGTACCAGATGAACTACAGAGAAATGTTAAAGTACAAAAGCATGCCGAAATCAAATATACCAAAGAGAACGAGGAGATGCTGTCAGAGACGTATACCTAACTCGTGTCGGATGAACCGTAGGAATATTCCGGCGTATCATCTGGTGCTGGATGTGGCACTGGCCGCGCAATGGACATTTGGACTGTAGGACCTTCGCCAGGCCTCCATTCTGGCCTAGTAACATTCCTGGGAATAGAGGAGTCCGGAAACGAGACACCTCTAACGTCTTGTGAGCCCATTCTACCAGTTGGGTGCCTTGGGTTGCGGCCGAGGTTCACAAGCCACGGAGAGCCTGAACCTATGCCAGCCATATTGAAACTAATTGGTGGACTAACACTTCTGGGATTGGCTGGGTCTGACGGGGGATTGTCGTATCCGGAACCGCGTCTGTCCGTACCCGAATTTTGAGGACCGGCTGAAGGCCTGGATCCCTGTGGAACAGGTGCGACTGGTCTTGTAAGACTCCTGCCTTCCTGACCTCCACTCTCACCGGAACGAAGGCAGTAAAGGGCCAGAGCCGAAAAGATAACGAGAGCCACTGCTCCACCAGCCGCACCGCCTATAATGGCTGCCGTGTGTGTCGACTTGCCCGGCGTGAAAGTTACAGCAGGATCCGAGCTAGTCGAAGTTGAGGTCATCGGGCGAGTAGCAGTGGGAGTGATGGCGTTGGTGCTAGAGGGATCGCGGATAGACGTTGGGATAGAAGTTGTCGCACTCGTGCTAAAGGTCTGGTACCATCAGTATTTCTTCTGTGCCCTCAATGGGAGACTATCACCTGAGTCAACGTCGAGAAAACGGACCGAACCGAAGTGGAATTGGAGAGTGACTGGACAATAAACCAGAGCCGTTATATTCGACGGACAGGAAGACGTTGGTGCAAGTTCGGTAGATTAATGCCCACCTCGGATGCAGTATTTGTCGACTTCTGCGTGGTCGTGGTCGTCGTCGTGGTCGTGCGTCGTGGTAGTGCTCTAGTACTGTTAATGGTTCTTCCGCGTATTCAGTGGGAAGCCTTTACCTGAGTTGATGTCGATGAGACGGACGAAAACGGGGCGGGGGAGAGCGGCTGAGTAGTAGAATGCGAGCCCTTTATGAACACCAGACGTTGATGCGAGTTTGACCAGATTGATACCCACCTTGGATGTCAGTGATGGATTAGCCTGAATCGCCCTTCACCCATTAGCCATAGCACCTCAGGAAGCATAACGTCATCCACACCTGAACAATATAATAATTGCTTGAGACCATAGTGTTACCACTATCTGCAAAGATCAAGTATATTATGGTTCCGACACTGTCTGAAAGTTTGCTGTTGATCGGAAGATAGGAGAGCTTAGGAGATCGCTCGATTCGAGATAAGCGAAAGCGCACAGTTGAACGCTTGTGTCATTGCCAACGTACAAATACCGGACCAAGTGAAGGACGTGAATCCCAAGTGCTAAACTGAAAGGGCTCTGGGGGACGGGATTTCAGTCAAAATGGTCAGATTGGGGGTTGATAAGATGACGGGTTCTGGGAGTCCACAAATCTGGAGGCTTGCAGCAGACAAACTCACAATACAGGCACCCTCCCAATACACAGCGAAGTTGACTTGGTAATAAATTGATCCAGGCGCTGGGAAATGTACATTGCAAGATTGAGCGCTAACATGTAGGACGAAAAGGAAGAATAGCGAAAGTGCCGGGAGATTATTGATTGCCATATCAGAATCAACGTGATGCTGGCCTCATTCGTGAGGTGGGGGTTGTCACGAAGCTGGGTGAGGGGGATCTCTCGAGCCGAGTAGCACTATATAAAGCACAAACCGCGACTGAATTATCACAAGCTAGAGTCAAATTGAACGAGTTGCGCCGCACGGCGCCTACGGTGGAGGGCGAATGACAATAGCATGTTGGGAAGGTAGATGACGGAGACCGTATATTCTCACCTGAGGCTGGTTTTGGGACCGGAAAATAACTCGATCCTAACAAATTTGATAACACCTTGACATATTGCTCGTCAAGACTCGGCCAGCTCAGGTAGTGTTCAGCTTCGGGCGAGAGGACGCTCGCAAAGCACTATCTTCCTCGGAAAGAATTTGAGAGCAGGCCGACTCACCACAACGGCATGCTACTACGACATCAGCACGGCATTGCAATAATTTGGTGAGTGCGTCCACACTTATAGACAATGATCCCAAGTCATCCTCTATCTCGCTACTCACCATTGTCGTCCCTCCATCGACCTTGTGAACTTGTTTTCATATCGTTCCCCTTCCTCGGACGTCCAACCGACGTATGTTCCGGCATGACTTGCTTGCATTTGCGCCGAGTGGATGTGGGCTCGGGAGGATCCAGCCGAACCAGCGGGGACGCGTTAAGGGTTTGCAAAGCACATCTATAATCTAGTCTCCTACAGCTGCAGCGTAACGCCAAATCTTCCAAAATAGCGTACGGCACTCAGTCTCTATCATGTACGGTAAAGATCGAGAATTGAGAGCATATCAACGAAAGGTACAGCTTAAGGCAGCGCACTTAAGCATCGACAACCCAGAGAGAACGTGAAACGACAAGGTCGGTCGCGTACTTATATCATGGCTCGACAGAGAGTCAACCGTTGTTGCCTCAACATGTTCATCATGTCATTAATTTTTACACACACACCCACTCAGCAGAGAAAGATTGAATTCAGCCTTAATTCCAATATATCGAGGCTGGTATACCCCACAGATGGACTACAAAACTCAAGAGAAATATCAAAGTACGCCGAAATCAAATATACACCAAAGAGAGATCTCGGGCAGAAACCTAACCCAACTCGGGTATACCATAGGGATATTCGGGCTTCCCGTCTGGCACTGGATGTGGCGCTGATCGCAGAACGGACATTTGGACGGTAGGGCCTTCACCGGGGTTCCTCCCGAGTGGAGAGGAATCCGGAAACGAGATACCTCTGTGGCCTTGTGAGCTCCTTTCCCCGCTTTGGCGGCTTGAGTCGCTACCAGGGTTCGCAACACGTGAAGGTCCCGAGCCTACGCCGGCCGAAATGGGACTATTTGGCGGACTCGCATTTCCGGGATTCGCTGCCTCTGTCAGGAGATTGTCATATCCGGAACCACCTCCCGTATCCGAAGTATGATGACCAGTCATGGACCCAGGCGACGGATACACCAGTGTGTGAACGTTCCCTCCCACCATACCCATATTAGCACCGGTGAAGCCGGCATGCCCTCCCAAGGGCACCGGTGCGACGGGACCTTTAAGATCTGCGCCACCTTGACCTCCACTCCCACGAAAGCGTAAGCAGTAAAAAAGGAGAGCAGAAAAGATAACGAGAGCCAGTACACCACCAGCCGCACCGGCTATAATGACTGTCGTATGCGTAGAATTTCTCTGGGTGGGAGGCACGGTAGGGCTGAAATCCGAAGTTGATGTGGTCCTGCTAGAGGTCTGGTAATGTTAGCATTTCTTCACGTTTCGATGGGTGGCCTTTACATGAGTTGACGTCGATAAGACGGACCAAAACGAAATGGACGAAATGGATGCAATGGATGCAATGGATGCAACGGAAGTGAGCGACTGGATAGCATAATCAGGGTTGGTTATATTCGAAGAACACAGACGTTGATAAAGATGAATACCCACCATGGATGCTACATATGGATCGGCCTAAATCATGATTCGATAATCAGCCATAGCACTTCTAGGAATATGACCCCATCCACACCTGAACAGTATACAAAGGACTTGACACGTTGCTGCCATAGCCACTTTGAAAGAAGAAGTATATCCTGACTCCGGAAGAGTTTTGGAATAAGCTGTCAGTCGGAAGATAGGAGACAGGTGAGAGATTGTCTGATTTGAGTCAAGAGAAAGCGCACAGTTGAACGCTCACGTCGTTACCAGTGTACGAGTATTGGAGTACGTCAAGATCGTAATTCCAAACTTGCAACGTGCAAGGGTTCTAGGGGGATGCGAATTTAGTGAAGAATGCCCATAGGGGTTGATAAGATGATATGCTCTGGAAGGTCACAAATCTGGAGGAGGGAAACCCACGGACTCACAGAACAGTCTCCGTTCCAATACACGTCAAAGGTGACGTCGTCATAAATTGTTCCGTCCGCCGGGAGATGTACATCGCATTCCCCAGCGTTAACATGCAGGACGAAAAGGAAGAACAGCGCAAGAGCCCAGAGTGTGTCGTTTGCCATATCAGAGTCAACGTGGTGTTGGCCCCGTTCGTCAGAAGATGGCAGTGGGGGTGTCGTGAAGCTAGGGGGGAGGGATATCTAACGCATTAAGGCGATATGAAGGAGGCACCCGCCGGGACTAGTGATTTGCAAAAGGTTTCAACCCAAAAGAGCTGCATTGGGGTCTGCAGCGTCGTGTATCCAATGTGCCAGAATGGGCCGCATTAGGCCGCATGGCATGGTACATAAGCCCAGTTCGCTCGCGCTCTTGCAATCGGCAGGGTTTTGCTGGATTTTGCGATACCCTGCAATGTGTCGCTACAGGCCCCCGCTGTTCTGTAAAGACTCCACCTCCGCTCCTTATAGTAACGGGTGTGTCTCGCAAATCATAGTAGGACCACGACCCCGGTCAAACGACGCGGGCGCGAAAAGGCGGTGCGTATAATTGGAGCATCCTGAACGTGATTATCCACCTCGTGCCCGTACACTATTTCCATGAAGTATCCTGGGCTCAATATACCTGGAAACAGCCAAAATTCCTTGCGGCGCAACAAGTCAGAGTTTTGCCAAGCGCACCATATATAGCAACTAATTGTCACCAGCTCGCGAATAGGGCGTGCCATAGGGCGCTTAGGACGGAGCATGAAAGACGGCAGCGTGTCAAGAATGCGGAGAATGGGGACAGTACACGTTCATGTGAGGCCGGTTTTGAGACCTTCCGTCCGAGGGGACAGAGGCTGCTAACTGGTAAACACACTTTGATACATTAAAAGTTGGCAAGAGGCTCACAAGCATTACCCCACCTGGTCCGAGGGACTCACCACTACCCAACAGTGTCACGATGTGGGAATGCAGTCACGGGGAACAGTTTCCGTGATGCGTGCTGGCACTGGCAGTAGGAGTTCGGTTCGTTTCGGAAGGCCGAACCCGAGTCCGAACCGAACCTGAGATCGCCAACTGATTCAGTTCGGGTTCGGGCCGACACTAGGACGTGTATTCACGATGACTCAGAGCAATCGATTGACTGTGTTCGAGAAATATTAAACAGACCTCCCGATTTTCTCTGCACACCTCGCTGCCTCCATATATATCGTCTCACACTCTTCCCATTTGTGAAGCTTCGCCTGAGTGGCCACTTTTTGGCCTCCTTCCTTTCCTGGCGACATCGTAACAGGAAATCTGGATCTCTCCAATGTGCTAGGATTAACAGGCGGTTGCGATTGTGCGGTGTGCTTGGTGGCTGAGAACGCCGTCTCACATGACATGATGATCCGGGGACGGGGAGAACGTCCCGCACTATCATTTACAACACCGGATAAGCATAGGCCAGGATCCTAGCCTCTACTAAGGATAATCAAAGCCCCGGTTCTATAAATACGCGGTAGTTGGGAACTAAATGGCATGCATGCACTTGTTGGGGTGGCAGGAACTTGGCGCATTTATGAGTGGTTCTGCAACACAGCAGCACCGCAGTTCGAGTTCATCCTGGTTCGTTTCGCAGTTTCGTCAATGGTCCGAACCGGTTCGTCATGAACTTCGGCACTCAGGCATAGGTGATCGTGAATCGTTTAGACGGAAGGCGGCAATCAGTGTAGAACCAATGCAGCTACTTATTAATGAGGATAATTCACAGTTGAGTTTATCAGGATTTTGTTCTCCCCTTGAGGCTGCTAGCTCACCGATCGGTTGAAATCCAGCCTCTATTTCAATAGAGATTGGTGACCTTGCCCGGACGGACTATAATTCTCAAGAGAAATAATCAAACACTAAAAGTACAAAGTATACCAAAAAAAAGAGTCAAATATACACCCCTAAGTGAGAAAACGATGGGATGCCATCACGGATGGAAAACCTAACCCGGCCCCGACATTTGGGCAGTATGGTATACACGGGGCTCCCGTCTCGGTGCAACAATTTCGATGCCAGGGTTCACAACCTGTGGAACTCTCTCAGGAATAGCTGCCCCTACCACAGGATTGTCATATCTGGAACGATCTCTGTTCGTATGTACAGTGGTATGATGACCGGTCATGGACCCTGGTGACGAATACGCGAGGTTGTGAACGTTCCTCCCTACCCCACTCATATGGGTTCCGGTGGGGCGGGTAGGTCTCCCCGAGGGAACCGGCGCAACTGGACCTCCGATATTTATGTCCTTTTGATTTCCTCTCTCATGGGAACGTAGGTGGTGAAGGAGCAGAGCCGAAAGAGATGCGAGAGCCACTGCACCGCCAACGGCACCCCCGATGATGCCTCCTATATTTGTTAAATTTCGAGGAGTTGGGTTGGAATTCCGGATGGTAGCGGTTGATGGGGGACGACGAATGGAGGTGATCGTATTGGTCATGCTAGGGGCCTGGTAATATTAATACTTCTTCCACGTTCTTAGTGGAAGGTCTTTACCGAAGTAAACGTTGAGAAGACGGATTGGAACGAAAGGGAGAATGCAGGTGACTAGACCACACAATCAGAGCGAGTTATGTTCGAGGAACAGGCAGAGGTTAACTTGACGCAAGCTTGGTCAGATTGATACTCACCTCGGATGTTAGTGAGGAGGTTAGTGCCTCGGAGAGTGAGGATAGCTTGGACGGTACGGACTGTACGGAGAGCGAAAAGAGGGTTCCGTTCGATGAGCCGGGCTAAATCACATCCAATAATTAGCTGTAGCACCTCTGGGAGTATAGCCTCATCCTCACCAGAACAATATAATCAGAGCTTGTGAGATTACTGCCATAGTCATCTCGAAAGTAGAAATATATCGTGGTTCCAGTAAGGTTGTAAAGTCCCCTGTCGGTCAGAAGATGAGAAACAGGAGATCACTCGATTCGATAGAAGTGAAAGCACACAGTTGAACGCTCGTGTCATTACCAGTGTACGAATATTGGAGTACGTTAAGATCCCGATCCCAAAGTTGCAAAGTGAAAGGGCCCTAGGGAACGGGATTTTAGAGAAAAATCCTCATATCGGGGGGGGGGGGGGGGGGGGGGGTCGGTAAGATGCTAAGTTCAGGGAGTCCACACATCTAGAGATGCACAACCAGGCCCGGCAGCCCACGAACTCACAGTACAGTCACCGTTCCAGTACACAGTAAAGGGAACTTCATCGTAGATTGATTGAAAGGCTGGGAAAAGTACATCGCAAGCGCTAACATGGAGAACAAAAAGGAAGGACAGCGCGAGCACTCGGAGGAGAGTGTTGATCGTCATATCCGAGTCAATTCGTGAGGAGACGACCGTGGGGGGTTGTCACGAAGATGGGTAAGAGGGATCTCTCAAGCCTGAAGGTGATATGAAGATTTCCAATCCGTGCTGCAGCACCGCATGACAAGTTTGTGCGATCTTGCAATCGGCAGGGCCTCGCTGAGTCTTCAGTTACCCTGCACTGCAGAGTCATCACTCTAGACGCTGAAATTATGTCATCTTTTTGTCCTCCGGCTGACATTTCTCGTTATGTTTGCCTCCTCTCCAAGTTACTCATCCTTGATTATCCTCCTTGATGATGATGATGATGAATTCAAGTCACCCGGAATGGTAATGGACGAGTGAATTGCGTTTGAATGGGTCCACCTTGGGGCCGTCGATCGACGATCATTACCGATCTGGGCATGAGGTGGGATTCAGAGCGCATAAGTGGTACTCTAAGAGTTGGGGGCTCAACCTCTCGTGTCTTTCGATCTTCTGCCCCTTTGCAATGCAGGAACATGGCAACATCGCCGAAGGATTCGAGAACCTTACCTCTTCCCTTGGAGCAGCCAAGGGTCCTTCTTCACTGGCACTTTGCCATGTGAATAGTACCACCGCTACACCGGTCCCAGACGAGCCCAGAGGACCACCACCGGCATTCACCTCCGTCTCTTTTCCATTGAAGAATGGAGAGGAACACTCCCGCCACGACCCCAAGTCAAACGACGCGGGTTGTCAGAGTTTTGCCAAGCGTACTATATATAGCACAAGTGCAACTGTTACTGGCTCGCGGCCAAATTGCATAGGGCGCTTAAGATGGGGCATGAAAGAACGGCAGGGTGTTAAGAATGCGGAGAACGGGGACAGTGTTGAAATTTCCTGTTTCTTGGTACGCTGTGGACCGTCCATTGAGTCCGTCGGACCATACTTCTTGCGCACGGGCATTTCCATGAAGGATTGCCTGATGCTTCTACTTTTGGCATCCATGTTGATGAACGCAGTCGAGGATGGTTTAAAAGCCACCTCGCGCGATTTTTTCTTTCCTCTCTCCTCAATTCACGTCTTTGGAACTGAGGTGAGATTCTCTTTCATCACTTGGAACTATTTAGACCAAGGGAAGTAACATAGAACTCGATTTGCACTCATCTCAATCTCTCGTAAACAGTGTGATATTATACCCAACTACCTGGAATACACGTCTGCTATGGTAGAACCCAACATAGGGAACACATGAAAGAACGCGGAGTACAGGTAGACATCTCAACGAACACTAGTCCCTGCAGATAGCGTCATGAGGACTGAGGGTTAAAATGAAAAGGGGTTCCGTATAGAGAAGATAAGAGAACAACAATTGTCAGGTACATACTTCATCGATTCAGCATAAAACATGGAACATTCGGTGTGTTTCATCACCAGGTGGGACGGAACCCAGCGTGAATCCGGATGCGAGAAAAGGGAATTGTACTTACGGTCACTAAGCTTCCGGTGCATCATCCGGGGGGGCTGGGCCTTGAAATCGACTAATGCAAGGCGAAGTTCCCGCCAGCAGCGTAACTCCACGTTAGTGGCGAAGAACTACACCAGTGGACTTGATCGGCTTACCATTAAATTTGCTCCTTGCCCGATGAGGGCGACATAAGATATTCCTGGACATGTAAGGATGTCAGCATGAGTCTTAATGTGAGAGGGGAAATGATACTTACGGCCAAACCTGCTGGGTGGACACAGTACGAGCCAACTGGCCCGCAAAGTTCCACCCTAACAGGGAAGGGGCATGGACAACAGGCATAAACGCCTGTGGGAACATATCCACACCGACGCCATGAGGGCGTCCCGCCGAAGGTCCCCTCTCCCGAAATAAATGCGACGTACCGCGGTGACACCTAAACAGAACGTTGTACGAACGAGTTCAGCGAACATTGCCTGTTAGCCAAGAGAAAATCCTGATACGTACTATTCAAAAGACAGGACGGACATGTTCTTGGAGGGATAGCCCAGAGATAGAATACAAGGCTGAACGATGAGCACACGAGGAGGGTAAAATCGAAGACGGAATACACAGAAAGAATCCTAGGTTGCGATCGAAAGGCTACAAAGGCTGGGACCTTCAAGCGAAACGGCCTGGGGCCAGAGCGTACGTCGAGGAAACAAGTTGGAGCGGAAAGCCGGCCTCGTTCTTTCTCACCGTGCGTCCATTGGATAGGATGGGTTCCCATACTCGATTCGCCTCAGCTTTGGTCCACTCCCCTCTATCAATCAAACCTACAAGGTGCGTCAAATCCATAAGGTGTACCACTGGTCATCGGAGTCCATGGGCCAAACAGTCATAGAGGGGAAGTATGATGTAAACCCGGTAGATAATAGAACTGATCCACAAGCGGTTTCGCCAAAGCAGACACGGCCAGGTCGCATGAAGATGAGAGTTGTGTCATAGTTCGATTGAAAAGGTAAAGACCGCGTCTCTTTTGTCGACATGGGTGTGCTGCAAAGTGAATAAACCGCGGCCTAGATATAACCCACAGTTTCAGGATCAGGTTAGCGAACAGGGGTAGGAGCAGACTTCGAGGATGGCGACTAAGATGTGACAGTGCGAATGGTAGGATGTAGTGGTGGAAGGCCGATGGGATAAGGTGTATAAGGATGCCGAGACCGTGAAAGGTTTAGAGTGAGCACCGAGGTATTGGCGATCCAAAGATAGTGAAGGTGGGTAGCGACTGGAGTCCCGGGATGGAGGCGCAGGGAAAAGGAACTAGCAGACGCGCCAGAACTTGCAAGCGAAGGTCAGTCGTTCTTTGCGATTGCGCATCCATTGGGTAGAAGGGCTTTTTTGCGTCTCCGTACTCGATTCACTTCAGGTTTTTCTCACTTCCCAGAGGATGGGATCCACAAGGCCACAGTTTCGAAGCCCCGGACAAGAATACATCGGCACCATCCCAAGCGGTAACGGAGGAATACGCTGATTGATCCGATAGTCATGATGGAAAGAAGCTGGTCGATAAGTAGTCTTCACACAAAAATGGGAGCTAGCGTCACAAGTCGATTAAAAGGTCAAGGCACTATCTCCAAGTAGTGAGCGAAGATCGGCAGCCTGGAGATCATCCGAAGTGTCAGGGTTGCTGCGCAGTAGGCGGGGGACCTGGACAAAAAGGGACTTCAAGGATGGCAGATGGTACGAATGGCAGCGGCTCAGGCGTCGAGTGTAAGGGTGGAAGGTCGATAGGAGAAAGTCAACGTGGTGTAGGACAGCATGGACAACGAGTAAGGGGTTGAGGGTGAAAGAGGTTCAGAATGGCCATAGACCGGGCTTAGAGAGACATCCAAGGACGGCAAGGCGAGTAGCGACTGGGGACCCGAGAGCGAGGGGGGAGAAGGAACTGGTAGGGAAAACTAATGCTCAGACCACGCTTTTATGCCTTTCGGATCTATTCAATCCTCTCCTTGTGATAACCACGCTCCAGAACTGCTGCAAGAATGAATAAAACCTTCCAAATCAAGTAACTTTCTTCGTCGAAATTCCAACCAGCGTTATGAACACGATCCCAGAATACAGTTGGTGTTTCACAAATTCCGAAATTCCTCGTCAGCGAGTGCACCGTTTAGCGTTGTTCAACCGCGAAACTGCTCCCAAAACGTCCCGCTACAATATCCGTGAGCGGGAGATTGAGGGACGATACAAGACGCCAGGAGGGGGAGAAGGCCCGTTAGGAAAACATATTCACTCTGTGGCGAAGAAGATGGCTAGGGAAGATCCGGTCATCAAGCCGATGCATCAGCATATTAGCCAGATTGGTTATTCGTGGATTATTAACCTAATTGACTCTATATAGAAGAACTTGCGCACCCTGACAGGGTTACGCCCCGAAACCATCGCTGCACTGGGGCACAAAGTTTGCCGCGCATTCCAATATACCAGGATCTTTGCTGAAGAGTGTAGTTGAATATCATAGTGTAGCGGTGAACCGTGTCGTCGACGCCACTTTGTGGCAAAGAAAACTCCAGTCGACGCTTCCACAAATGCAACACGGACCCTTCAGTCGAGTGCTGCCGTTAGGGCGACACACCGTGAATAAGATCGAGTATCCAGATCTTCCGTATCACTCAACTCCAATTTCTTGAGGAATTTCTCGAGACACAGATCACGAACCACCCCACTCCGTTGACAGCGAGCACGGAAAAATGTTCATACGGAGTCGAACGATTGGAAGAGGACAGGCGGAATGTGGTCGCGATCTGCTGTTCGACGTTGTGGAAAAATCAGGAGCTCATGGCCATCTCATCAGGAATGCCCAAAAAAAGTAAATATGCACCAAAAATTACATAAGTGTTAGCTGGTATTGTGATGAATGAGGAAGGTTCGTTCCCACCGGCGGCCCTGCCCCGGATGGATGGACATTGGACCCACACTTCGGGTCCGCCACGTGTTTGGATGCCCAAAGGCAAGCACGAGCACAAAGCGCAGCTACAGACATCACAAGCACAGATAATCACGGATGACAAGCCGCAACTAAGCAATTGCGGAAGTCTGCATCCAGCTGGGTGAAAAACTCCTCAAATGCAAAGTCTTGTGCCGAGCACCTAAAACGCAACTCTCCGTGTGGCGAGGTGTTCCTGTGGCCCATACACGCTAACGCCATGTCTGAGGAAGTTGTTCCCTTGGTACGCTTACATTTGAGCGTCCACAACTAACTTTTTTCACTACAAAATGAGTGATGAAACGCCAAAGTTTCGTCATTGGCCCTTTCACCAGGTCTGCTAATTGAAGTAGGCTCATTCACTGCGCCGAGAACCCCTGTTCCTATCCATGTGTCTTCACGCGTTAAATGGTGCTTGATATGGAGCGTGTGTCTGTCTGCGATATTGATATCGCCACACAATCGAAGCCAACCCCTTGACCCACCACTGCATGGAAGACCAGACATCGCATGTCTGATCCTGGGAAAAGGCGAGGGCAGCACAGCGCGCAGTGTGCGATGTGAATACCACTGATGCTCCCCAGGAGTGATGCGCGCTGCATTTCTAGACATCCCAATTTCCATAAATACAAAACGAGGTCCTGAAAGCTATACACCCCGATTTCACTGGAATGGAGAGACGTATCAAGTTCCTCCGCTCTCCCATTCCTGTGAATGATGGAGGTATTGCCCTTCAGGCCACATATGAACTTATGGGCGTCAAACACACTCCTGTCTGTCTTAAGAAATTGAGGGCTCTGCAGAGACCCAGCCCATGCTCCACAAATGAATCACTGTGATGCTTGAGTGATCGAGAAGTGGTCCAAAGTCCCCCAGAATGACTCTGATCTTGTGTGACTGAAGGTCAGAAGGTTTCAGGCTAAAGCCTTGAGCCAACCGCACATTATGCGAAGGAATCTTTCCATTCTGAGGCACGAGATTCCTCTATTTGCCATCTCCAGTCTGAGAAAATTTCCAGGACCCAGATGGCATTCCGACCACGAGCTAGAATATGGTTAGAATCGCCGTCACCTGGCACTCATTTCCTCGAGGAGAGAAGCCTGCTCGTTTTTCGTTCATCTGCAAGGATGGACAAGACGAAATACGCGTGCTGCAAGAGAGAGGGAGACCTTGTGAAAGAATAAATATGGCGACTCAATACTGGATATGGAAGTCCCTTCCTGACTCGCTTGCTTCCGTTGCTTTCCTATCCTCATCCGAGCGTTGGGGGATCACGGCATGGCCTGCTAACCACTGTCGTGTGGACAACTGCAGCTGTTGTTTCGACTCGTCACCCCGGAAATGACCCGGGGGAGACTGCGGAGGTGTGTCTCCAATCCTGTCCGAACTTCTCATCTAGATCTCACTCCTGTGCGTCGATGGTTTCGGCACATCATCTCAGTTCTCTCCCCCACCCAGGCGCTTCTACCCACTCCGACCGGTGGAAAACGGAATGGCCCGACACAGCCCGAAGTCCCGTAGTTCCCTCGCGTAGAAGCAGTCCTATCCGTCTCCTAGCCGAACGACCAGTACTCTTCTGTGAGCCGGTTTTCATTCGAAGTCGTTTTCACCGTGTGCGTGCTCGGACATGTGCAGTTCGGGTGGGCACATCTGGGTATTCCAGATTTTGCTGATTTGTTGAGCTTCAGAGCGCCCAGCGGCTATCGTGCGTATGCTGAAGGTGCCACCAATTTTAATGGAACTTGTTCATATCATTCTGTGCTTTCGCACTCCTGACACTCATACGGACAACTCATCAATTCATTAACTTCGTCCGAGACTCGCTCGCGTTTGAAGGACGTATCCGTTACTTGTGACCCACTTTTTGCTTTCTGCTCACACCAAGTTGCACTTTGTTCGGAAGGATTGCTTTGATTCTCGACTCCGCGCACCCTCAAACATACACCCTGCGAGCGACCAAACCATAGTTTCCATGGAGCTCCACAGATGGCCTCTCGTTCTTAACTGCCGGAGGCTGATCAAATCACTGCAGCGTTACCGAATACGATGTCGATTGCAGTATATAATTCCTTCATACAATGAATAAATGCTGCGCTTCCATGACTCTCCGGTGCTAGTATATACACACATGGTGGATTCGATTGACGTGACTGGCCTTCAACGGCCCATTCCATCAGTTAAATCTTGTGGAGTTAACGGACATCCCGGTACCGGCGTATGGTGATGCGGATCATATTCATGGACGCGCTGATGTATATCATCAATGAAGGGGTCGACGTTTTCCACCGAATTCCCCAATTCCGAGGACTGGAGGGCATTAAATCAATATGCTCAGCGAAGATGGTCGCCTGCAATGTAGGCGGATACCCAGAATAAAGACTGAAGCGCTGAGGCCGGCGCACACAAGTCATACTTAATCTCGTGTTTCCATTAAATTCAAAAACATCCGTCCATCCGTTGCTGCTGCGTTCAGGCTGTATTACGAGTCGGGTGCCGTTGCCGTTGCCAAATCTTAGTTGGCCATTATAACCAGTCTTCGCTATCAACCCAGTGGCTCCGATTAGTCAGATTCACGCATGGGAATCATGTGGCCGGATTCAAACCTCGGCTGGCCCTGCAAGCTCGAATAGACCCTCACGTTGGTGACACGGAGAAGGGTTGGTCCTAGCGTGCTGAGCCGGTATGTGACCCTCATATTAAGACCCTAGTGGATGTCCTGACATACCTGTTTGTGCATAGTACCCTTGGGTTCCGTTCCAATACCCGAAGTCATCTGGGAGGACAGGGGGTTACTGGGGATATGTGGAGAACGAAACGACACGAAGCTTCTATTGCTGTCCCCAGTCCCGGTGTCACCACCAGCGGACGGGTATTTATCAGATGGCTCTTGGTAGATCCGGTCAGTACTCATCAAGGACTCTGGCTTCTGGGATGGAGGTACAAGGGCGTCCATACACTTCCTACGCGGGAAATTTTGGCTTACATGATTTTGACCTCCTTCCTGCTCTTCATTAATGTAAACTGCGTCGCGACGGCTGCATCTCAATCATGGTTCTGTTGGAAGTCGAAACTTCGTATCTTTTCGTGCTTCTTGGGCTCAAGACTCGGGCATAAGTAATGCTGAAGGCTTCATCACAAAGTTAATGTGTGAGGATGGATAGATCATGCAAGACGGGTCGCATGTGGTCAAACAAACTAGTATAGCTGCTGCTTTCTTCCGTCAACATAGAGGACCTTGCAGCTGATCCCGGAGTTTGGCAGACAACTAGTACATGTACATATGGCACAAAGTGGTTTTGAACTGCCGATCAAGTCGGCCAACGCATGTGAATTTCATGAACGTAGCTCTGCGGTGGCTCAGGGTAGCTCGATGGCCCTGACATTGGTCACGGAGGAATGACGGTGCAGTGGATCTTTATGACTCGAGTAATAATATAAAGTGTTGTCACTCTGCCTTGTCAAATTTCAAAATCAACAACACAGCTGAACCTGAACCTTCGACCATGCCCTACCCTCGTGCAGTCGCCATCATGGCACAAAACTTGATCGCGCTGACGGCATCCAACCCCGACCTTCACAAGAGCAAGTTCAACATGCTGTGGAACGGTATTCTCAATCATCACTTTCCCATTGAACTGCAATACGGGGTAGCACTGCAGGCATCTATCTCTAGCGCGGGTAGCAAACTAGAGTTTTTCGAGGTGAAGGTAGCGCGTGAGGAGGAAGATATTGTGCTGGTGCTCAAGCTGAAGAGACCAGCTGAGGACACGGAGAGTGGAAGAGAGACTATCAAGAAAGAACTGGTCGCCCACGTTGAAGAACGCTTTGACGAAACTAAATATCCTGCGATATACGCCATTGGCGGTATAGGCCTCTCTTGGGTCGCTTACAAAATGAACAAAACTAGCCCATCGGAGCCTGAGCTTTTCGTGGCCTGGTCCAGTAACGTTACCTCTGCTACATCCTATAACGCGATGCAAACAATTGTGAATCACATCGATGGGATGACCGGTACCGCTCGTCAGTAATGGCTATTGGAAAAGGCAAGCAGTCGCTTTGAACTAAACCTGGTCGGCTGGCTGATAGTGGAAATATACTGCGCTGACATGGTGGACCTAGAAGTTGAGTGGAACGTCATTCACAGGTTTTCGCCAAGACGTGTAGCTATATACGAACAGCAGTGGTGATATCAGTTAGGAGTTGAAAGTATCGTGCCTCAGTTCGTCATCAGCGATCGAGGGGAGGCATTCCGACCCGAGAGTTCCTGGGTAATTCCCGATTTGTTCAAATATTCGTGAACGTCGATGGTCCCTCACCATCCGTACCAGGGCCGACGTTTGGGACTCCCTGTAATGTACGGTGATGAAAGTGTCTCTTGGCCCAAAGTAGGCGTTGTCCTACGCCCCATTCCTCTCACTGACTGCCCATGCCAGCTTTGCTTCTGTATGCAACGAAAATCCGCGTGTGCATCTTGGCTCACGCGCTTTTCTCCAGGCAGGAATGCAATGTGGCCGAATCACTTTACGCAGATGATTAGGTCACTGACCGTGGTTGTCTAAACGCAAGGACGCGTTACACAGATAGAAGAATAATAATATAATGCCTCGGGCTCGCAAACACCTGATTAGGAACAACGTTCTTGTTATATTGTTACATTGTTACATTTTTGTATCAAAATCATAGGTATGCCACCTTGCTTGGCGCACATCTGGGACCAATAATCATCAAGAATCACGTTGGATTGCATTCCAGGGCTCGTCGACGTCAAATCCATGCATAGTCGCCACCATGCATATCGTGCCATAGTCCGTGTCCTCCCATGGTTCATTGCCGTAGGCAATATAATCTATCTTGACGAACTTGTCAGGATTCTTGGTGACCTCGATGATTCCTAGCACCCGAGGGGTCCCGCCTCCTAGAAAGTTGATAATTTCGTTCGTTCCGCCCTCGACCTCTTTGGGCGCATCGATGCTGGCGACCCATCGGGGGAGTATCGCATGAAGGTGAGGGTCAAAACTATCCTCATATTTATGTTTGATTTTCCAGTTCTCGGGGTCAGTAGGGAAGAGAACGTGGTGAAAGGTGACACGAACGCCGGTTCGAATCAATGCATGATACAAAAGAGCATCATGGCCTTTCAGCTGAGAAGGGAGGCATGAATATCACCAAGGCAGGGGAAGAGCTGACCTCATCCCTACCTTGCGTGTGACTGAATCAGCCCTTTCTTTCATCCCATTCATAGGCTAATGGCGCGTATTCGTGAGCCCATGGTATGTTTGCAATCATATTCGCTGACTCACGTATTGGTGTTCCAAGTAGAAACAAAGACGCGGGTGTTCTTCGGTGAAAATACCAGGTGCAGTGAGCGCACGATATAAGGGATCGATATTAAGATCTCGACATTCAGCTGAAGCCCGGGAATCGAACGATGAATTATTACTGCCGCTTTTATTATCTCCCTTCCTTCTCTTACGAAAGCGCTGAGTGGTTCGCAAAACACGCGGCTCCGCGCCTAACGGTTATTGCCCCCGCCTACGTTACCGAAGCGCGGTTCTCCAAAGGACCAAGAGGCACGAAGGAGTCGTCTGGCCAACATTCCCAGGAGCCGTTTCAACTAACCCGTTTCGCCGCGGTTCTCCAACGCATCAAGAGGCACACTTACGCGTCTGGCCAACAATGCTCGGAGCCGGCATCCGTTGCCAACAAATCCAAAATGCATACTCCCCCCCGGAAACGGTGTACGAGTACCCCTAGGCGCTCCGAACCCACGCATCCATATGTTTTACTTCCCCTCTTGTACATAATTTTTGATCTTTTGATCCGTGCCCTTGGCGCCTCATTCGGGCAGCCTGCACGTGCACGTTAAATATCCAGAGCTCACACACACACACAGTTGCATCTGTGGCGGGATTCGACATATCCAGAATATAGCTGTTTGTACAGATATCTACTGCAATCATCTTCCTACAGCTCTAGAATCATTATCCCCACACGAATTTCGGAAAAAAGCAGGATCACCGGAGTGCCAGTGCTTGGTCATGGCTTCGTTCAATTGAACGCGGGCATCACGGCTTTCCCTCTGGCTTCTCGTCTTTGCGTAGTAGACTCTAGGAAATCATTCGGAAACTGCGGAACCCTTCACCCACTCCCCATCCTTCAGGGCCACACCTGGGAATGATTGGACAACTCGTTGTCCGCAGTCATTTAGACGTCTCCAATGACAAAATTGTTAGCGCAAATAATTTTGGAGCGGTCCATGCAGTTCTTTGTTCCGACGATCCGCCAATATTGACTCAGCAAAACCTATGGCCACAACGTGGATGATGCGTCACAATATTGGTTGTCGTCGTCAACACCAGAATCCTCATAAGGGTCCGGACTGTAGACCAGCTGTTATTGCTTATTATTTACTATAGACAGAATAACAGAAGCGACAATCAGCCGTACTGTTGGCATGGGTGTAAAATGGAAGGAAAGGTTCAGTCGGCCTCCCTTGGAGACCGGAGGTCATGAAGGTGATGGGCGTTTTCAATGTCATCACTTCGTGGAGAGTTGATGCGTGGCCGCATTGAATATCTTCCCTCAGACAGTTTCCATGCCTCTTGCTTTTTTAAAGCAGGCGCTCCTTCAGGTTTAACCCTCCAAAATCACTCACAGCATCGGCAAATCGATGAAGCATGCTCAGACCAGCTTTGACCATTTGCTTTACAAGGGGAAATGGTATCGCAACAAAGGTACCGCCTGGAGATCCCTGGGGTACCAATCCGACTATTGACAGCCCTTTTCTACAGGGTTGCTGGTTTTGAACTTCTCCTCCTTCCCGTCATTTCCACTTATGTCAACGGGTTTGACGGAAGGTTAGTCTGGAGTTGTTAGGTGCCGAGACCGCATGCCTAGCCCAGATTCTTGCTAATAGCCTGATGAACGGGCTGCAAAGTGTGGCTTTGTGGGAAGAATTTTTCCATCACCCTCACGGTAGCACTTGTACGTTCCCCTTCCACCGCTCTTCGCCGTATTGTGATCCTTATCCCTACAGTGGGACTATTTAATGCGATTCAAAACGCATGTCCCTCAAAAAATCACAAATCCTGGGTGACTTGACGACAACTTTGTGTATTTAGATCGGTTCTATTTGTGGAATTCCTTTCGCGCCGTACGTTGCAGATACTTTTGGAAGAAAAACTGCTATGTTATTGTAAGTCGGTGCACCTGCGTCAAGCTGGGCTAGCAGAACTGACGCCCGATCCTATCCGCAGTGGCGCACTTATTGTCGTTGGCGGCGCTGGATTACAGACAGCTTCGCAGAATGCGGGCATGTTCAGTAAGTGTCTCGGTCGGATCAGTCTCTCAGGCGTCCTATAGCATTCAATTGCAGTCGGTGCCCGCGCCATGATTGGGTTCGGGACATGTTTCGTGCAGCTGGCTGCACCTCTTCTCATTACTGAGCTGGCTTATCCATCACATCGACCTGCACTTTCTGCCCTTTTCAATCCTATGTGGTTCAGTGGCTCTATCGTTGCGGCCTGGGGGACCTTTGGTGAGGCAAAACATTATTACAAACCAACGGTTTCTTAAGTCACTTATATGTGCTCCGAAGGGTCCTTTCGAATCGGAAGCAACTGGTCATGGCGCATTCCATCCGCCCTTCAAGCCGTCTCTTCTGTTATTCAGCTGTTTCTCCTGTGGTTTATTCCGGAGTCCCCTCGTTACTTAATCTGCCAAGGCCAGGACGAGAAGGCTCTCTACACCCACATCAAATACTACGCTAATGGAAATCGCCATGACCCCCTCGTTGAATACGAGTACAACGAAATCAAAAAGGCTATCGCCATCGACAAAGCGAATGCTAAAGGTACCAGTTTCTCAGATCTCTTCAGTAGTGCAGGCAACTTACGTCGCATGGGAATTATCATTGGTAAGTCAAGCTGGTCGCTAGATATCGCATAATCGATTGAACCCTCGGCAGCCATCGCCTTCTTCTCCCAGTGGTCCGGAAATGGCCTCATTTCATACTATTTCAACCTTATCCTCAATGACATTGGCATTATCACCCCCTTTGACCAAACTCTCATGAGTGGCATCTTGCAAATCTTCAATTTTGTCACTGCTATTATTGCTTCCTTCCTTACGGAGTGTGTTGGTCGTCGTGTCCTGTTCATCATCTCGACAGCTGGCATGACGTTGTTCTACATGTCGATCACAATTTGCAGTGCTATCTACGTAACTCCGTCCCATTTAACCTTGACGGGACTATTGATATCGATCCTGCAACGGGGAAACCTGTGAAGGGCGACGAGAAAGCTGCGTTCATGTACATCACAGTGGTATTCCTGTTCAACTTTTTCTATACCATTGCATTTACGCCGCGTAAGTCTCTCGAACTCGACCTCGCCTTTTATTTTGACCATCAACTGTAGTCTTGGTCTCATACACCATCGAAATCCTGCCTTACAAGATTCGTGCCAAAGGGCTTGCTGTAATGAGGCTCGTTTCACCTGCTGGCCTATATTGGGGAACAACTTACGCTGACTTTATTTTCATAGTATGTGTATCACAATTTCTCTCGTGTTCAGTAAGTACGTCAACCCAATCGCCTTCAATGCCCTCAACTGGAAATACTACATCATTTACACCATTTGGGATGCTGTTGAGACGGTGTTCGTCTGGCTTTATGCCGTCGAAACTAAGGGACGATCGCTCGAGGAAACCGCTGTACTCCTGGAGGACCTCAGTGTCACCGACATCGTCGCCCAGTGTGCTCATAAACACGTTCATTTCTCCCGCGGGAAGGATGAGGGGGGCGGTTTCGACTTACGGGATGCTGACGAATTTTCCATTTCGGATGAGAGCATTGGGCGCGCCTTTTGAGCGTATCGATCCATGGTACTCCCACCCACCTCAACTCAGCGCTTCTTGGATGCATGTCAGGAAGCCGCTTGGAATGAACTGAATACCAATCAGTGTCAATCGACCTGCAATCCTTTGGCTCGATCAACAGCGACTGATTCAGAATAACAAGCACCATACCAGCGGCCGTTCTTAATTCCTAGACATATTCAGTTTGGACATGGTATTCGTGTCAGTTTCATTTCCCCTAGTTGGGCATCGCACTCAAGGAGCTGTTCTGCGGCCTGCCGCACTGACTGTAATGAACTTGTAACCAGATCTGGCCATCTGTAGAATTTCAATGATCGAAGCACAGGGAACTCTTGATTCTCATTCACTTCGCCATCATTACAAATGAGCGTACATTTTAGTACTGCAATGCACGGCCCGCCAGCATCTGTGATACTTATTTGAGTCTGTCAGAGTCGGTGACCCAATTCACTCCTTCCGGCAACGCCCGGCCTTAGCTGGGCATTTCTGGCCTTACCTCCTTGCGTAGAGTGTGCAAAGATGAAGCAAAAACATTGGAGTTACCGGCTTGGATATGCATAACCCAACGCTAATGCTACTGAAGCGACCGCCGCTGTAAACAGCCAACAGTCTCATTGAGGGGCAACTCCGATGAACCAACATACATTATACTGCATAGTTATGGAACTGTGGAATCACTAGCTCCCAGAACTATAGGCACCCAGTCCGTCTTCGGGCCAGGACAACTCTTGGCCCATGGTCCTGTAATCATTGTGCAATTGCCCCGAGAATCAAGCGTCTATACTCCAGCCATTATGTTGTAGCAACTTGTGTTACTGAGTCCATGCAGTCTTTGCATGCGGAAGACCCCTCCGATGCGGCGTCCCCAACCGATAACCCAGCAGGGACTCCAGCATTTCTCATCGGCAAGCTTTTGAAATATGTACGATACTGCAACAACGAAAATCCCCGCCACCGGAGGGAGTGAGTCTGCACCGCGGACTGGCGCATGATTAGCGTTTTTATTTGGTCATGATCCGGGTGTAAAGGTCCTGTCATCAGCATCCCTGGAAGGTCAGGATAATCATCTTCCAGATAGTTTCCCTGGCCGCCCACTTGTTTAAAATGGGTGTCTCTTCAAGTTTTGGACCCCTCAGGCTGAAATGGGTCCAAGCATCGGTACATCAATGAGGCATGCAACGACAAACTTTGACCACTTACTCTACACGGGGAAGTGGTACTGCAACACAGGTGACGTCTTGGGTCTGGCATCCCAATCAATCCATTGATGGCTTTTTCGTACAGGCTTGCTGACGTTGAATATTCTTCTCTGCCTTCCTCTCATCTCCTCATATTCCACTGGATTTGACGGAAGGTCAGTACAGGGTGATGGAACGCCGAGAACACTTCAGTTGCCTGATGCAAATTCTTCCTGGCAGCATGATGAATGGGTTGCAAAGTGCCACTTGGTGGCAAGAGTTTTTCCATCATCCTCGTGGTGGAACTTGTGTGTGTCGTTTCCGCTGCTTTTCACTCCATTTCGGAAATGCTAACGTTCACTATTTATGTCCGCAGTGGGTCTGTTCAACGCTATTCAAACCGTATGCAGCAGTACGAGAAATCCTAGATAAGTCAATGATTTTTGTGTTCAGATAGGTTCTATTTGCAGCATTCCCTTTGCACCATATGTCGCAGATACCTTTGGGAGGAAGTCTGCTATGCTATTGTAATTGCGGCATCCGCTTTCAGCCACACGAGCAACACTGACGTCTGGTCCATTCTGCAGAGGTGCATTTATTATTACTGGTGGGGCTGCATTGCAGACAGCCTCGCAGAATTTTGGCATGTTCAGTCAGTGTGCAGTTGCATCAATGTCTAAGGCTTCCTAAGCCATTCGCTTTCAGTTGGTGCCCGCGCCATGATTGGCTTTGGGGTATCTTTCTCAATGGTAGCCTCGCCTCTTCTCATTTCCGAGCTGGCCTATCCTTCACACCGGCCCTCAGTTTCCGCGCTGTTCAATACCATGCGGTTTAGTGGCTCTATCGTTGCGGCCTGGGGGACTTTCGGTGAAACAATTTTTTATCACAAATACGTCACTGTTTCTTTCAACTCACCCTCATGCATCCAAAAGGAACCTTCCGAATCGGTAATAACTGGTCATGGCGTATTCCATCCGCTCTTCAAGCCATTCCCTCTGTTATTCAGCTGCTTCTTCTATGGTTTATTCCCGAGTCGCCTCGTTACCTGATCCGCCAAGGCCGGGATGAGAAGGCTCTCAATATCCTCGCTAAATACCACGCCAATGGGAACCGCAATGACCCTCTCATCGAATATGAATACAACGAGATGAAAGAGGCCATTGCCATGGACGAAGCGAACGCTAAAAGTTCCAGCCTCTTGGAGCTCTTTAGCGGCGCAGGTAATTTGCGTCGCATGAGAATCATCATTGGTAAGTCGAACTAGTCGCTGGACACTGTGCAGTGATCTAAGGCTTCTGCAGCTATTTCCTTCTTCTCCCAGTGGTCTGGAAATGGTCTCATTTCATACTATTTCAACCTCATCCTAAATGGTATTGGTATCACCTCCACCTTTGATCAAACTCTCATCAACGGCATCCTGCAAATCTTCAATCTTGCCACTGCTATCACTGCTTCCGTCCTTACGGAGCGTGTCGGTCGCCGTGTTTTATTTATCGCCTCAACAGCTGGCATGACGGTGTCATACATGGCAATTACAGTTTGTAGTGCCGTGTATCGTCACTCTGTCCACGTCAACCCTGATGGGACTACCACGGATCCCGCGACCGGGAAACCCCAGAAGGGCAATGAGAACGCTGGCCATACCTACATTGCAGTGGCATTCTTCTTCAGCTTCTTCTACGCCATTGCATATACACCGCGTAAGTCCATCAAACTCGCCCTCTCTTTTCGTTTTAACTCCCGGCCACAGTCCTGATCTCATATACCGTTGAGATTCTACCTTACAAGATTCGTGCGAAGGGGCTGGCTGTAATGGGGTCCGTTTTAGGCGCTGATTCATGCGGAGAAACGAACCCTGACTTCCCTTTCACAGCTTGTCTCTCACTGCCTCTATTGTATTCAATCAGTACGTCAATCCAATCGCCTTCGACGCCCTCAACTGGAAATATTATATCGTCTATACCATTTGGGACGCCGCCGAGACGGTATTCATCTGGTTCTATGCTGTCGAGACCAAGGGACGTTCGCTTGAGGAGACCGCTTTGCTCTTTGACGATCCCAGTGCCGCCGATGCTCTCGCCCAGCGAGCTCACGCAAATGTTCGACAGCTGCCTAATGAGAGGGACGAGAAAGGCGACCTACCTGAATCGACTAATGAGAACAACTCAATCTGCGAGAGCAGGAGACAAGTGGTTTAAACATACCAATCTGCACTCCGCCCCACTGTAACTCAGCGCTTCTTGTCAAGAACTTCGCTTGAACTGGCAGCAAAATAATCCACCTGATCAACGACGAACTCAAATCAATATGTATATACTGTTCAGGAACGGATAGTGTATTATTCGGTTTGGGTATGCAATCATCATGCCAATTTGATTTTCTCAAGGAATGAAATCTTTCTCCGTTCGGAAGCTGCGGCACCTGTACTGAAGAGGAATGTCCTGCCCATATCTTGGACCCACCCATCTCTAGAATTTACTGATCGAAGTTCTGCCGCTTTTGGTTTACATTCGTTCTAAAGCCCGATAGTCATTAAGATTGATCATCAGGAAACCCCCGAGGCCGATTGAAGTGGTTGAGATCATTTCAACCTCACATGGTTTACAATCACTTCAACTGGGTCCCCTGATTGTAATCACACCAATTACAGGGGTGATTGAGCTGATTCAGTGATTGTATGGTTGGTTGTATCGGCACGCTATCACATTCTCTCCCACATTGAAGTTTATCAATAAAGTTATTATGTTTGAACATTATGTTGCATACATACTTGGGAAAAGAACCCAGATACAAGTTATTACAGTAGTACCCAAACACAATGTAATGCAAAATGAAACACAAAATAAAGAAGTGGGTGAAAATACAATGTAATCAAAGAAAGCAGATGCACGCCTCAACTGCTGAACCGTTTGGCACCAAACCCGGCATAAAGGTAGAGCTAGTTATCTTCTATCGAACAAGCCTAAGATCGTCGGAAATGGATGAGTGGTTGTTGAGTACATGTGGTAAGAAGTTGGGGATAGTGTCGTGCGTGAGAAGTTTGGTTGGAGGTTGGAAATGACATGGAAAAAAATCATGGGAAGGGAGGGGGGATGTATCAGATGTTAGAATATCAACAATCGGTTCCGACGATGGAGTGGCGAGGACGGTGTTGATTGTTGGTGGCGGAAGTGAAGTTTTGGGGCACATCTTTTGCACCCCATTTTTCTTCTTTATGCAACGGTGAAAGGTTGCTTACTTATTTGGGGACGGTAACGTTCCGTTCCCCCGTTCGCCTCAGGCCTCAGTTAGTCCGTCTAAATATAAGCTTAAATGTGCTGTATATTCAACGGGGTAGAGGTAAAAGGCTACCGGGCCTTTACAACTACTCCGAGGTATATATATGTAATTTACATATCTCGGCACAAATAAATAAAGAAATAAACACATCACTATAATGGGAATTATGGTGATGCAACATAATATAAATATCACTATAATCGGAATTATAGTGAAGTAAGGTTAATCCCTTACAAACGGGCTCGCCACTGGTGTAGTTCGCGTATAAGAAGGGAGTTTTTTGGACTCCCTCTCCCTCAGATCTCTAACACGAGTCTGAGGTGAGATAGATTTTATTATTCTTTGCAAAACTGTCTAACTGTTGGTGCAGACACTTACGCGCCATAGGTACATACAAATTCCAGATCTCTAACACGAGTCTGAGACACTTACGCGCCATAGCCTTATATTTAAAATCAGAGGGTATTGGGGAAGGGTCAGGCAATTGCGGAATGGTGGTGGCTCATGTAAACAAGCACAAGAGGGTGGTTAGGT